TGCAGAATTCAAATTTTTGGCAGCGAGCCTTCCGGATTGGTGATTATTAAGAATTAAGAACGTTATTGGAACGATTGGCCAAACGGTGAGAGCTAGAATATTCTGGTATTTTGAAATTTTGAAAATTCGAATTATGAAGACATATTTCTGAGAAACGTCAGAAACGGCCATTTTGGCAGAAAAGCTAGAAAACAACAGAACAACACTAGTTGAGCGGACGAGAAGTACGAAAATTGTGAGAAAAAACAATAGCAGATTGCAGAAATAGCAGGGAACACTCCGAGTTGCAACTATTGTGTCGCTACAATAGTTGCAAGGCCGTTGCAGACAACGGTGAAGGGTGGAGGACAGCCTTCCGGATTAAGAAGAAGTCAAGATTAGCGAGCTTGATTCAGTGGATTCAAGAATCCGGAAGGGTTTCGGGACTGGAACTTTTAGCTTGTTATATAAACTTTTAGCTTCATGTCATGTCCTGATTTGAATTTAATTAACATCTAGATTCATTTTGATAAGGATGAGAAGCTAGGAGTTGGGGGAAAGGGTTGATCCATCTTCGATGGAGATGATGATTTTATCTACTGAACAAAAACAATAATAATATAATAAATAGTAGTAGGCCTGTTTTTAGGAGTGACCTCGTGGTCTGGGGATACTGAGACCCAGCCATGAGCTCACTACTTCTGCATGTAATCTAGTTAATTTGAGTGTTTTGACCGAAGCCGAAAGCAGTAACGTTTTTGTCGACCCGATGTTGGAAAAGACCACCGAAAAGTACTGGCTTGGTAGGGACGGTGAAAAGCATGCAAAGCTCTGTTTAGACGTTAGCCAGTCGTCTTAAGATTTAGTTTTGTTTTCCGTCGATATGTATCTTCCGGGCGAATGTTACAAAACTCACAATTTATTTCTGTTCTCGTTTCCTTCGTGCTTCTCGTTGTTTTTTGACGGTTTCTTTTTCTTCTTTAAGATATCACTCAAGTTGCTATTGTTGTTTAGTATTATAGCTAAAGTTTTGATTCCAAGTGCGGTTTCTTGATGCAATTCTCTGTATCCTTCAAGTAGATCTTTGTCCTGTTGTTTAGAATTTGAAATTATGTGTGTTGTAACTTGAACAACTGGTATCGGAAGTTTCTTTAGATCTTCAAGAATATAGGGTGCACCGTCTCTCTGACAATAGACAAGGCCTTCAATTCGAGGATGTGAATTGATTAGGGGTTTGATTTCTGATACTAGTTGATTGGCAGTAAGGGGAGTCCTTGGATTGAATGGATGTTTTGAAATCGAATTGTTTATTACGTCGTGCCAGATAATTACAGACTCGTTTCTATTAATTTCGTCTCTCAAGATGTTTCGTACGATTTTATTCGATTTCGATTTGGGATGAAACGTTACTCCCTTGTAATGAATGACGTCTTCTTGCAGTTCCTCGTTTCCTCCTACTGATGCCCAATCTTCAAGTGCCAGATGTAATGAGCTCGCTCCAATAATCACAACCATGAAAAAGGGGTCACCACGGCTACCCCACAAATCATATAACCTGAAACTATTTAATAACTATTTGATGACTATATTCATTGATGACAATGTTCATTCTGAATGAACATTGATGACAATGTTCATTCTATCTTGTCTCTTACTTGTAAACTTGGAGGCCTTGATATTCTTGACTTGAAGCCGCTCTCCTTCTCCTGCCATGCGTCTTACAATTCCACGCGCGACATTCAAGATGCAAATCTTGTTTCTGATCCCGAAAAACGTTTGTCCGAGTCGTGTCTGTTTTTTTTTCGACAAGCTTGGCAAAGATTTTCGAACCGTTGACCCTAGGCGTCAACGGGCTTGGCATCAACCTCTCATGCAGCTACAACAGCAGAATGTTATTGAAAATGGAGATGTTTGAGCTATCTCGTGTATCAAAGGAACTACATGTAGAGGTATAGATAACCAGAAGGTCAAAAGTATCATAGTAACCGAGGTTACAGTCATGAGTCCCTTCATCATGTATTCCAGTCAAAATCCTTGGAATTTTCTAGATATGGAAGTGATAATGATAAAAGAAGATGTCAAGTGTTTAAGTCCTTTTCATTTAAAATCGATACGGGTTACGCTTCTTCAATAAGAACACGCAACTCGACACGAGATAATATAATATACAAGTGTTACAAGTAAAAAAATTTCGTCGAAAGTTATTTTGTCATTTATTGTTCCGAGTACGCAAGCGGCGTTCGCAATCTGTATTGCCAGGGAGATTCTCTGTTTTAAAAAGCTGCCTGCTCTGGGTTCCTCAGTGCATATGCTTAGGTTCTTACAAAGCTTGCTCAAAAAAACTTCTGTGCTGGGGCCGGCCGCGCCCTGAATTTCAAAAGCTAGCGGTTGAAAAAGATATCCATCATTTACAAGATCTTTATATTTGTCAATTTTTCGCTCTTCCGCTTCAGCGGCAGCCGTACCAGGGTTACAAACAGACCCGGCATTAATCCTACAAGGGGCTAAGGAGTCTACTACCGTTACATCCCACAAGAGCTGCTTACCATCAGCCCATGGAACGAGCGTCAAACCGTCTGGTCGCTTCTGATCGGTCCTGTAGAGGTGTCGTGGTTCTAAAACAGACGGAATGTGAGTAGATGATAGACTCTGCTTTATAAGGGCATTCAGGTTTGAATGCCTAGAGAATCTCCCTGCACTTTTGAGGCAAGAAAGACCATGCCAACCATCCTCGGTAACGTCTTTTCCGCACACGCATTTATGCCGTTCGCATATTTTTGATCCTAATCGAAGTCCTATCGCAATTCTGAGTTGTTGGTTCGACAGTTTTAACCTTAAATTTTTGCAGGGGATGACGTTCAACCATTGGGATCCAAATCTATCTTGGAACGCGTTGAACCTTTTCACGTCCGTTGGTTCGAGTCGTAAAATCAAGTCTGCAATTTCGCTGTCAAAAATTGGCTCCGTCCAATTTTTTTGGATTTAATTTTCCGGAGCCATTTCAATTTTTCCAAGGTCAAACCACCGTTTAAGCGCATCATCATAGGTTCCATCCACATGCTCCAAACCAAAGATTTCGCTCAAGGCATCTTTCGCTCCTACTGCTGAGGCTAAGAAAGCGGGTAAAGCGAGTAGACGAGCGGAAGAAACGCCCAAGCCACCTTTGGCTGCCGGGAGAACTGCTTGTAAAAACTGGTTATCATCCATTTTCACGTTAGTGACCTTGCATAACGAATTTCTTAGCAATTTATCGTAGCGTTCCAAAAAATCATTTTGCAAAAAACAAGGGCTCGTACGCAAAAAATATAGGAGTTTTGGCATGCTAAAGCAATTTTTCAGGAGGTAAAAACCATAATGGGCGTCTAGTTTGTCAATGACATCCGAGATTTTTTCAAGCTCCCTAATTTTTTCGTCGAGTAATTCTTTTCGGCAAAGTTCGCCGATTGGAGATCCTAAAATGAGGAGTTCTTCTTTTGTTTTTATTTTTATTTTGGGGCATATTTTTCGAAATTGTGTTAAAATTGAATTATACTGTGTACTAGTAGTCGGTCCCAAAAAACAAAGTTCACACTTCTCAGTGTTTAAGCTCAGGCCGTAAATTTGTTCCGATTTCAGAATGTTTTTAAGGTCCCGGAGTACTACCTTATAGTCGTCGGCTAAATTCCCATCATCTAAATACCAGATGTTAATTTTCGACTCCAACTGTTTGACTAGTGTATGAATTGTTTCCGCAAAAAGGGGTGGGGCTTCAGGATCACCTTGCTGAGTTCCGTCTTCTGACATTATGACAGAGCTTCCGTAAAAAAGGTAACTAGGTTTAGCATACGCGCAATGGGTGTAATTATATAATTCGGGGCGATTTGAAAAAACATGATTCAGCATTGTTCCTCTGTTTAAAGAGTTAAAGGCATTCTTAAAATCTAGTTTTAAAAGAACAGTACATTTTGGATTGTCGTCGCGTTCAATTAGGTTTCGAAACGAGTGCGCAGCTATTTCTGCTCCTCGTTTGGTACCGCATCCTACCTGTACGTTTCCGAAAAAATTTTGTCGCTCGGAGAGGGCCTTGCTTCCAGCGCATTTAGACGCGATACGTCTCAGCGTGTTGCCTATGGCAATCGGTCTCAACCCTCCGTCTATTTTTATGAGGGCGATAAGCTTTGCGCCAAAAAAGAAAGGTCTTAGTGGTTCCGGTATTTTGCCATCTCCAATGAGGTTTATCAGCTTAGTAAGCGATTTCAGAAAATTAAGTCCTGCACTGCCATTCGACTTACTAACAAGATCTTTAAAAATTTGAGGAAATATTTTATCAGGACCTGCTGCTGATCCGTTTGGAAAGGACATTATCGCTTTGTATAGGTCGAAATCGGTTACGAAAAAACTATCCAACTTTTCTGGATTTGGAGCTGCAAATTTGGCTCGCTGCGGTGCTTAGATAACAATTTTTGATAGTTATCAGTTGAAAAAGGAGCGCTACCTTCTCGAACTCTGAATCTTAACCTCCCCACTGAAGATTTCAGGATCGCTGTTGGCTACCGTCTTGGCGCCCCCGTATGTTCCGAGCATGCCTGTTCATGTGGCGCTGTTCTTGACAAACTCGGTCAGCACGCTCCGGTGTGTCGGCGTGGAACTGGTAAACACGCGAGACATGCGCTGGGAAATAATTTTGTTTTCAACGCCCTAAACCATTGTGATTACACTAGCACTCTCGACCCGCGCGGATTGGACCGGGATGACGGCAAAAGACCAGACGGCGTTACCCTTGTGCCATGGCAATCAGGCCGACATCTGGCATGGGATCTGACCATTGAATTCACTTAATTGTGGAAGCTTGGCCCCAGACTGACCTTCTTTTTGAGTCTGTCAATCAATCATCTATCACTTTATTACGCTGGTCTGCTAGAAGACTCATTTTTCACTTTTTATGCTAAAAGGTAGTTCTGCTAAACGATCGGTCCCCGCATCGGCCTTTGGTGCATTCATGAAATTTTCTTCGTTTTTTCTCACTCAAAAATATTTTCCCCATTTAATAAGCTTACCTTGCAATGTAGTAATCTCTTTAATCGGGATACGAAGTTTTGAAACAGTTTTTTTGTCAGATTCAAAATGATCCCTGAAAGAGATCAAAAGTATATCCAGCATATTGATAATGGCGTTAAGCCTAATAACGTCGTGGAAGATGTGCCGCTGTCGACAGCTTACAATTTGAACCCTATCGTGGAACGCGACACTAGACCAAAAAGTTTCATGGATGTCCATGGAAAGACAGTACTTGTCGCTGGATCGGGCTTACTCGCTGCAATTGTCACGCTTGCACTCATAATAGACATTATAATGGGAAGTCAAGCTGTAAGTAAATATCAAATTTCGTTCTACGGATCCCTTTAGCTTAATTCCCTCCTTCATTTTTAGTGGCTCTAAATTTATCCATATGGATGCTGGAAATGTAAATTCATTCAATTGCATTTCATCGATGATAGGGCGGCCGATGCTTTAATACCTGACTAATTGAGTAAATAATCTTTTTGCTGATGGATTTTGGTATCGTTAAAATGGCCCTGCTCAACATGTGCACTGTCGTATATGGAAGTGCCCCCGCTAATTGATAAATATTTTTCCATATGGTTCGACTTTCTTAAGACAATTTGGTGATTGATTAATTTTATAATGAAATGACCTGAATCTGCCCAATATAAAAACATTATAAATACGTACCGGCACAAACACCTTGACCATTTTTCTCTTAATGATGCTCTATCTTGAATGACATTTGTTATTTAGCTGCTCAGCTTCAAAGAAAATAGGAATTGCATGTTCTGAAATCGTGTTTAGGTTGAACCCAATGGAGTGGTAGTAAGTGAAATTCCAGCGTGCTCTAAGATGGGAGCCAAATTGATGAAAGGTGGAGCATCAGTCGTCGATGGAGCTATTGCGACATCACTCTGCATGGCCGTCCACTTGCCCCATCGATCAGGACCCGGAGGGTGAGCTAAATTGTTTTGCTAGCATCACATAAAATTAATAAATATCACCTCACAACTGGCTAAATATGGTTAGACAAATTTGAAAGGAAATGTTTATTATTCAATTGTCCCACTTGGCTTGTATTCCTGAAAATGATATGCATAAGACAACATCTAAATTATAAGACAAACTGAAAGTGATATTTTTAACAATCTTTTTTAGCCATCCCAAACAGTAAGACCCAATTCCGACCCAATTTTCAAAAAAAGCGTTTTTAGGCTTTTTTTTGAAATATGACCAAAAAATTACTTTTTTCGGCGCACGCTCACCTCTCACTTGAGTATATTGGCGCCAAAGGCGCCTTCAAGAAGGAATTCCAACGTGGTCTTTAAACACAGGCATTTTTGACATCAAAACATGAATTTTTTTTCAGTCTGTTAGTGTAGTTTTACTGAGGCGCTCAGATTCATTGCCTTAGATCGATGAAATTGTTTTCAATGTTGTCCCAAATAGTCCTAGCAAAAACGCACTTGAAAGAGTAAAAACCTAAATTTGCGCGTAATTCGAATCTTTTTAATTATCCCCCTGGTAACTAGTATCGAACTGACATCCCATAATGAACTAATTCAACGGTTAAGCATTTGTGAATTTTGTACCTATTTACGATTCTCAACCCCACCCCGCCTGAAAAGTTAAAGAGATCCCTTAATTCTTCAAACTACTGTATGTTTACGGATGACATTAAAAAGATTTAACCAATGATATATATGTTTTCAATTAAGAAATTATTTAGAAAACTGTTGTTTTTTGTTTAACAGTGGTGGATACATGTTGGTCAAGGAAGAGAAGAAGGTCGTGTCGTATGACTTCATGCCTGAGGCGCCCAATGATATCGCTTACTACTCGGCAGATAACAACGACAGGGTAAGTTTCCTATGTTATCCCGCAAAAATTCCTCGTGATACAAAAATTACGTTGAGATAGACTATATATATTTTTAATGATAGGCGATTGGGCTCTCAGTTGAATTTTTTCACATCAAAATGGAAATACATCCGCTATCAATATGCACGTGCTTGGAGTGCTATTTAGGCCACAGATAGAATGGAGAATGTGCTACTGGTACATTGAGCAATTTTTTATTTACTTATTTGAAGTTTAAGATATGACACGAGACAAGGTTTTTCCAAAGCATATCGCATGTTTTGAAGTTTAAGCAACTGAAAAATTTCATATCCCTTTCGGTTTAATTTTAAGGGCAGGATAAATTGAATTGCAATTGCGAATAGGTTATCTAATATTGCAATTTGGCGTGAGTGTGGTTTGCATGGGTCCCAGTTTTGCATAGCATAGTAATATCACTTGCAAGAGCAATTGTATTACAAACGGGATACTAATTTTTTACCATAATTTTTTTTCGTGGAACCCAACCGTTCTTCGCAAAAAAACTGATCTCTCCCTAGTTTAAAGAGTGCAAAATTTCAGCTGAAGCGTGGATAGTAATTTCACCGATAAAGAAGGTATAATAATCCAGATTACTTGTGTCTTACAGGGGCAGGATGAGATTCTGGTTCCGGGATTTCTGTCTGGCTTGAAGCGTGCACATGAGGACTATGGGGAGGAGAAGTGGGCTGAGTTGATGCACACTGCAGCTGATGTGGCCAAGGAATACACTGTGACCTCATCATTAGGTAAGTGTATGACGTCATTTTAAGTTTAGTGCATTGTGCATAACGTCATCTTTAATTTTAGTCATTATTTAAGTTGTATGTAAGCCTGTAGTGATGGTTTAACAAGGCGTTAATATAAACTAAAAAAACTCTCATCATTCAAACTTAACTTAACGCTTTTTACAGATTTCTACCTCATTCAACAATAAAATAAAATTTAAAAACCAAACAAAAATATTGCTACATTTTTTATGGGCTTATTTTCGCTGTTTGAAAATTTCCATGTTTTAGAGTTTTCGCTTTAAGTTATAATTTTCATAAAGTAGCGAAAAAAATAAAGTTCTCGTGGATAAATCTACAGCGTGGGATTTTTTGGAGAAATGCCAAAAAAATGGGTCGACCAAAAAAACTAAAAACTACCGAAAGAGACGAAAACTATATTTATTTGATTGCAAAAAATTTCCGTTTGCGTCTCAAGAGCTTCGAAAAAAAATTGAACCAGCTTTATACTTATCAGCCAACAACATTTGGTCAATTTTGGTCGAGAAAGGACTGAGACCAGGAGTCAGTGCCAAAAAGCCAAAATTTTGGAAATCAGAAAAAGAAACGCAAAAATTGGTGCCAAATTTTTCGAGAAAAGCCACAACATTTTTGTGAAAATGTGGGTTTGTTCAGACAAAATCATCGTTTATTTATATTCAAGAGCCATGTTTTACGTGAGACAGCTCCCAAATATGCGCTATCATCACAATTATATCATTCTAACATAAAAAAAAACTAAATTACAAAAGGGGCCCTTCCGTTTAGTTACGGTTAGTGCACAAGCTGGATAGGGCCATACCAGCGATCTAAAAATGCATATATATCAGCAATGAAGTCATAAATCAGCATTAAATGCATCGTCATAATGTTAATTTATCTTAGCCGTCCTTCCTCTACAATAGCGCTTATGGAGTTGTCGATAAATTGAACTTTGCGTAGTCCCGTAGAATTCTTATCTGTTGGGATATTTTTCATTTTATTTTTTTTTCGGAGGTCGAATGATTTCTTGGTAAGTTATTTATGTGTTATCATTGAACTATTGTGATATTTTTCGTGCCTGTTCATCAAATAATAATTATAAATTCGTTAGAACACTGATAGATAGTTACATGGATAGTTAGTATCATAGCATTTTTTCTGTTCAGATGCGGCGATAAAGAAGGTGCCGGAAGAATACAGGACTGCGTCCTTCGAGGAATTGTTCCTCACGCCAAATGGATCCGTGCCCACGGTTAGTTGTGATTGTCCAAATACGGGTGAAGCAGAAAAATATATATCAAGCTCTTAATAATAATAATAGTAATAATGAAGTTACAGGAGATGTAGGATCTCTATGACTCTATTCGGCATTAGTTACGAAATTCCCTCGCCCCCTATTAGAAAAGGGGGAATTTCGTTACTAGATAAAATTTCGCATATGCTGAACATATGGTAATTTTTCTACAAGGCACCATATGGATACCGAAGCGTATCTTTGAACAGATCCCACAAAATGTTAGTGTTTTTAATTGACATCATTTTCTTTTTAATGGCATATTCTCTCTGCAATTTTTAAAGAGGTTAATGAACGTAGTGAGACTCTTATGTAGATTGTGATTGTTTTTTTTAGTGCGGTACGAACCTAAGTCGCAAAGAAAAGTGCTACTATTGGTGGCATTTTGAACGATATGCTGCTGTACCAGTATAATGTCTTAATTGCTTAAACGTTTGATTAGTAAAAAGTTAACACAGTTGATGCATTTTCAATTCATCAAATGAACCGACAAAAAGTTCTTTGTTTCAAACAGCAGTACAATGATAAAAAGCCCCACTTCAGAAATTTTCCAACTCATTGTATCTCGCAATTTTTTTTGAAAGGCCTAAATTAAGCAAAAATGGGCTTTATTCTTTCCAATTTATTACATGCAAAATTGTGTCTCTTTGTATTTGGGGTCCCTTTTGCGGCATCGAGTTGGCAGTTTATTAGCATATGTAACTTCGTTATTAGTGACTAGTTTTGGAGGAATTTAAGCATCCGTGGCTGATTGGTTAGTGCGTGAGACAAAATAGCAAGGTCGGAGATTCGAATCTTACACGTAGCTGAGTTTTTGCTAATTCGAGGTTTATTTCTACTTCTTCTTATTTCACTTGATATAGCTGCTTTTTGGTCGTGTTCTCGCAAGTGTTTGCGAAGCGCAGCTTCGCCTCTGTGCGTCAAATTGGGTTAATTTGTGTTTGCTCGATCGTAGCGTAGTGTGATAGCGATGTAACTTTTTTCCAAGCTAACGCACAAATAAAAGTAAAATAAATAAATTGCACTTTTTATTTAGGAGGGTGAAATGGCTATTTAATTGCATGTGCTTTGACATTTCAAAACTAATAACTTAACTCAATTGATGCTGTTTTAATTCATCGATTGAGTCGAATAAGAGCTATTTGTTTCATACAACAGTATTTACGCTTCTGTTTCGAAAAAATTATCGGCTTATTATTTGTCTGCTTCTGTTTTGTCGGCTTAGTTGCCACATCTTAGATTTTTTGCAGTTTCCAGTGCAGTTGCTTTCTATGTTTTCATTTACTCCTGCATTTGGTAATTCTACTAATCTTGATTTCGTCTATTTTCCTTTTTTTGTTTTTTTTTGCTGAAAGTTTTTTTCGTTCATGACAACATTTTTATTTTCGCTTGATAATTGTTTTTCGAACTGTCATTAAATGCCGTCGAATATATCTCTGCAAACGGAAAAGTTTTTGAAAATGGCTTTCGAAAACACCGCAATAGAATATCATTCCGACAACATTTTAAAGTTTTTTAATTGTTTTTTTTTTGGACTAAGTGGCTCTCCTTTTTTTCTATCTGCTGGCTTGCAATTCTATTTTGTGGCTTCGCAAGTGATTTGAAGCTCCGCTTCGTCTCAGTTTTACACTCCCATTTCAGAAATGATACAACTCGATATGCTTTGCGAGGATTTTTAAATCCATAAATTATAAAAATTTGGCTCATTACGTTCTACCTTATTGCATGCAAAAATTTTTGTTTGTGCATTTTAAAGCCTAATCTTGTTCCGTTTTCTTGCTCTGCAGTTTCGCCTCTGTGTGAAATTTGGTATTAAATTGGGTTTTAAAAGTCAATAATAAATTCATCTTGAAATTCATAGTGATTGTTATAGGACATTTTTTCTCCCAAATTCGGAAAAGTGAAATTTTTTAAGAATAAATCATGATTTTTTCTTGCGTTCATTGACTCATTTCAAACTGTCTGTTGGCTATGTTTTTAAGTGTCAAAAGATGAGTTGAAAGTAGTTTTTTTGGTTAAAGTGGCTTTTTCAGGTTAGTTTGATTTTCGCGTTTTGACTTAATTTTTTTTTCAAATTTATTTTAATTTTGTATGCGAACAGGAAAGAATTTACAAATTGTGCAAAATAATTTGAACCCTCTTAGGTTGGAGATATAACCAGATAAATTTTTTTTCTGGAAAGTTGAAACTTACTTAAAAAAAGTCCATTTTTTCGGTTAACTTGAGTTCATTGATATTTTTGCAACTGTCTGTTAATTGGCTATATTTTGATTTGAAATGATTTTTTTTCTGTTTGATATATTCACGAAATTAACTCGACTTCCTTTTTTACACAAGCAAAGCTTGTGTTTTAGCATGAACTCTCTTTTTTTCCAAGCTAATTCGCAAATATTGTTGTGACAAAATGTGTTTATTTTGAAAGAGTTCATTTTGATCAATAACCAGCTATTAAGTACAGACAATGCGAAGGATATTAACACAGACTATAATATTACCTTAGCACTTTAGCTTCAAGGCATCATGGAGCTGTAGGGTAGAGGTAGGGAAGGAGACCAGCAGCAAAATAAGAGGGTTCGAACCTGGGCAGGGCCGGATGTTTTTATTGACCTTTTTCGTAAACTAGTTTAAATGCGTCCGCTCTATAAATTGAGGCAGGTATGTTGGTAAATTTCTTTTTTTTTAAAATTTATTGGTACTGCTAATGCGTCTTAATTGGCCTGCACTTAGCAATTGTGTAGACTCATAATTGGCGTGTGTCACTTAAGAAGTTTTGTAGACTCAAAGTTTTACTCATTCATTTTTCCCCAGTAGCGTTATCGGTCATATTTTTGCATGTGTATGCGAAGTAGAACTTCGCATCTGTGCAAAATGAATTCACTGTATTTTGAAACTTGAAGACAGATGGCTTTTTCAGACTTGTCAAACTGGCATTTTTAACTTTTCAAACGGGAATTATTAACTCCAACTTTTGTTTACTCCATGGATTGAAGTTAAGATATTTAGTTTTTTTTTCAACAAGTGTTCTTTAAGACTCTAAACTGAATTTACTTATGATATTTCAGTATGATTAGGGCTTGGACAGTTTTTGATGCAATGAACTATCTAGTTGAAAAAAAGGTCATTCTTGTTTCAGGAACTGGCTAATGCACCTTTAGAGAAGCTGCTGCGTAAGTTGGCCAAAAATCCAGACTCTTCTTTCCTGGGTCTCCAGTCTCACATCATCACTGACGAAGTGAGTCAGCTGAAATCGGAGGACCTGGAGTCTTACAAGGTGGAAATGACTGGAGCTACCAAGGCTTCGTTCCAGAACCCGAGTTAGTTTGCAGTCACATCTTCTCTTGGCTCTTCTCCACTTTGCATTGCATCCTAAATTGCAAAATATCGATTATTAGAATACTTTCAATGATTAAGAAAAAATAAATGCTGAATAACGAACTTTTATCCTCGCAAAGATTCATAGCAATATTATCTACAACTTAAATTAAAATTTGAAAATGAAATTCGAATGGCGGCGAAAGTGGAAGAAAGCCCCGAATATTTCACTGACTTTATAAGATTCACTGACTTTATATGCACCTCTCAAAATCACAAGAAATTCCTTAATAAATGTTCATACGGCACTTTTATGTAAAAAAGATCACTTGTTGCCTACACGTTTAATTATTGTTTCGACCATCGAAAAATAATTTCAAATGTTCTTTTATAAATCCAATTTTAGAAAAAAAAAAGGAGAACAGGAGAGAAGCCCTTTTTTAGATAAGTTCTTTTTTCGTCTCAGAGTACGATATGTTCACCTCACCTTCACCCTCCTCTGGTCCGGCTCTTCTGTCCACCCTTCGCATGCTGATTGAGACTTCGAAGAGTGACATGGATGACAGTACACAGAAGTATCATCAATTGTTGGAGGCACTTAAGTTCACATCCAGCCAGCAGATGTACGTTGCAGATGTGGAGGGCAATGGCGAAGTGGTAGAAACGATGACAAGGTGAGAGTTGAATCCAATGCTGTCCACTTAAATATTTTTTTTTCAGATTTTCCTACCCCTTGTAAAATCTTTTTTTTTCAACAACTTACATGCTGCTACAAAATGAAATTATAATAAGCTAAAAAGCATATGTTAAAGTTGTTAAACATTATTCACGGGTACCGGAAATTTCCCTGTTTTTTTTAATAAAGTCCAATTTTCCCGTATGCTCAATTTCCTGTTGCCTTTGTATCCCTTTCTAGCCCCATTCTATCCCTTTAATCTGACCCTAGAAAAATCAAATGGAGATAATTTTAGTTGATGTCATCTCGAGGCGATCGCGATCTGAAGGGAAACTTCAAAGGACTTTTAGACCATTTGCTATAGCTTAACTGACGGTGAAAGCAGGGGTGGATCTAGCGTTTTCTGGAGCGGGGGACTTTAAATTTTTTTCTAAAATTACGATGACCGTTTTTCGGCGCCTTTAGAAAAATTCTAGGATGGATCAGTTGAAAATGAATGTCGTAAAATAGTATCAAAGGGGTGACCCTGTGGATGGTGAAGCGGTTGAAATCCCTGGAGAAGGGGGAAGAGTCCGCGTTAATTTCACCTTATTTTAAACGGCGCAAAAAGTAAAATAAAGACGGCAGGACATTAAAGAACATTTACCTTTCTAGTTAGCATTTTCTATTTTTCGAAAATGGGCTCTTTTGCAGTTTCTCACACTCTCCGTAAAATTATTTGCTGAAGATCGTTTCAAACATCGCGTATTTTTCTGAAAAGTTAGATCAGTTGTCGTTTCAGTGCTTCGAATGCCGGAAGCCTCGACAGTCTCATTCCAGCCTCCTCCGTCTACAATCCAATCGCATCCGAATACCAGGACAAATGTTTGCCTGATGAACTAACTGTTTCATTATCAGACTCACCTGCAACTTCGCCTGTAGATGAAGATTCTTCAGGTCAGTTTGACTTTTGTTCTGTTATTGTAAGATGGAAATTGAGCGACAATGTTCTGGCTGTGATTCGCTTTGTGAGTATCAATGAACCAATTGAAGACTTTTTTTTCAGGAAAAGCTCTTGAAATTTGATCGCGCTCAAGTTCGACATTTTTTCGCGATTTGACTTATAATACTGACTTATATTTTGCTGTTCGATTTTTTTAAATGCAATTCAAACTGATTCGCTTAAAGGAAGTTAAATTATGCTCTCCAACTAAGAAAGCGGAAATGCAACAAAAATGTGATTGACTTTCAATTTCGAAAGCGGAGCCTATATTTCAATTTTTGTTACTCATATTTTATTTAAAAAGTGATGGCCATCAAAGACTCTTGAGTCGTTTAACGTGTTTTGTTTTCTGACTTCATTGACAGTTTAACGAATTTCTGTTGGCTATGTTTCTATTTTAACTGTCAATGAACGATGTTTTTTCTTTTCGAAAATAGGCACGGTCAATTTTTTTTGCAGTTTTGGTTTTAGCTTAATGTCGATGAACGTTGTGAATACTCGTATAAAGGTCTTGCTGATTATTGTTGTTTCTTAGAAGGAAAAGTCTTGAAATGCTATAATAATTTATGAAGTGCATTAATACAAAGTTTACGCTTGCGATTAGCAAGCGTTATCGAATCGGAATTATACTTTTTTTTCTAGTTATCAACTAGTTTAACAAAATCAGTTGTATAAATTATACTGATATTCTCAATTTCATGAAAATTCAAATTCAATTACTGGGTACTAAACAAACTTTTGTATGTATAATGAAGAGTTCTGCTGATGATTTTTCGGCTTCTTGGTTGTCAAGCTTTGCCGGTTTGGTTTCCAAATTATCTAGTTCCTGTTTGATAAAGACATATGGAATTGTTCGGATTCGGGTTTTTTGGTGAGTCCTCCCCTTCTCCCGTGCCTTCATAATCCCCTAGCCTGTTTTTACCTTCACTTTACTTTCTACAGAAATTCTGAAAAAAGTTTGGGTGGAATTTTTGACCCATGTTTTCTCAAAAACTCCCCTACCAAATTTGAGATTTTGGATTCAATAGAAAGAACGAGTCGCGAGAAGCTCTCCTGCATTAGCAATTATGCCCACATTTTTTGACGCTCAAATTTTATGTCCCTCGGAAAAGTCAAACTTTAGATTTTTTAACAGTTTTTTGAAACTTAACTTTTATCGAAAACTACCCACACAAATATGAAGATTATGGGTTCAATGGATGGAGCATGTTGATGAAGCTACCCTGCATTAGCGACTTTTCCCAAAGTTTTTAATACAAAATTAATGGCCCTCAGAAAATTCAAAACTTTGATTTTTGGACCGTTGTTTCAAACTTGACTTTTCTCAAAAACTACCATCCTAAATCTGAGATTTTCGGTTCAATAGTGAGAACGAGACGTGGAAAGCTCCCCTGCATGCATTAGCATTTACGCCCAAATGTTCTTACAGCAGAAGTTATGGCCCTCGGAGAAGTCCAAGTTTCGTTTTTTTAAATCTTTTTTCAAAAAAATTTTTAGACTTTTGTTCAATAAAACTACATTCCTAAATCTGAGGCGACAAAATAATGGTATCATAATGCTTAATATGGTATCATAACGCTTAATTTGGTTCTATTCTCTGCTTCCTGACTTTCAAGATTTTAATGTTTCAGTAATTTTCAGAGTAATAGTTTTTTGACCTATTTTTTAGTTGAAAATAAGCCATCATTTTGTGAATTGTACAATTTTTGCTCGTTTCAATTTCTCATAGTGACCGTTTTGGTATCAGTACGTGTTCTTAGAAAATCTCAAACAAGTACTTCCAGCTTTAGCAGGTCTCTAATGTATTTCGTATACGCTTTTGATATATCTATCGTGGTATGTTTTTTTCTCACTAAAGTTTCAGCTTATCGGATGTCGGCTTCAATTCTGTCAGGGTGTTTACACCAATTTGTCGGATCGTCGGCTTATAACTCAGACACCAGTTTTTAACCGCTAAAATTCAAACAAACTTGGATCTCTTCGAAAACTCAAATAAATTCAAACACGATAAAAATGCTCTTTTGTTTTTTAATTTTATCGTTTTTCCACTTCCTTCTTCAATAGTAACATTGTTCGAAGTTCTGCTTACTCGTTTTTTAGCGCCATGGTGCGCTCATCCTATAATTGTTGTATTGCAAGTGGTGCGAAGCTCAGCTTCGCCTCTATGTTTTATGAATGCACACATGTTCAATTCAGATTCTTCTTTAAAAACCTTTGTATTTCTTGAGTTCAATTCAAATTCTTCTTTAAAAACCAGGTAAGTTGCGCTCTCCGAAATGACACGAGAGATATTCAAGTACTTCTAATTTCAATCAAAACTGGAGTTTTGTTTTTGGATTTCACAGCGGAATAAATATTGAACCTTTTGATCCAGTTTTCTCAAACGAGGATTAATTTTTATCAAAAATTCGTAAATTGTTATTGAAATTCGAAAGTTATTTTTTTTTCAAAAATGAATTCAATTTTTTCCGTTTTCTTGCTTTCACATTGCTTTTTTCCAACTGTCTGTTGGCTATTTTTACAGTCTTTGTATGTAATCAAGCGTTACGTTTTATTCAAAGCTTCTTCATTTAAAGATTTCACTCAGTTACTGTGCTCAGAATATTCAGAATTAACTGCTCAGCAACCGGCTAATCTTTATGAAGTTTTTATGAAAGAGCGATTTTTTTTATTGTTTAAGGAAAAAATCAGTCCTTTGCGCTCAGTTTTCGTTTTCCATTATGACTGTGGGTTTTTTTGAAATTCAATTCAAATAATGCTCTTGAATAGCGATAGCGCGCATGTCGAGAAAAAATGTTTGTTCAGCTAGGAAACATCGATTTTTAAAAATAAGTCAGCCACATCTGAGTTCGTTGACACTTTTCTTTCTGTCGGATGGCCATATTAATCGTTTGAGTCTGAGCCAATTTTTTCTAAACATAAATTTGCCGATAAATTGAACGTATGCAAAACAGTTCGGCTTCAGAGAATGGATCAAAGAGGCATCAGCGTAATATCGTTTTTCAAGCTGAATGCTTTAGTTTGATTCTTCCGACCACTGCAAGTCGGTGTGTCTTCGGTGTGTTTTTGTCTTCGGTGTGTTTTTTTCGTTTCTTCCAAGCAAAGTCAGGTGCCACAAATAATCATCGGAATGGGTCAAGTGATAAAATATTGTAAAGAAACCTTTCAGTATCGAATGACATAAAAATTTTGAATATTTTCTCTTAGTGTCGAGAAAAACTGGTCTAAGATTCTGGTCGATATAACGTAAAGAAGCCCTTTCAGACTGGAATGACTTAAAAAAATTCTCTCATTGTCGAGAATAACCGGTCTTATGATTTTTAGTCAAATTACGAGCGAATAAAGCGAGCGAGCAGGCTCATTATAGGCTAAAATAGGCATCAAGTAGGCAGCTGATAAATCAAGTTATCTCGTGAAAACTTTGTTTAACTGCAGTAATTCTCTTTTTGGAAGCTTTTATCAGCGCCTTCCTAGATTCCTAGGAATAAAATTGAAATAAAAATCGAAAGTTTCCGGGGGAAAAGTTTTTTTTTGTAGTTTCTAATGTTGCTTTTTGTTTTTTTTTCTATCTGTTTTATGAGCAAAAATTTGGTCAGATTTGTCTAGTTACTAATACTATTAAGACGCAATTTTCAAAAAGGACTTTAAAGAATTGTTGGAACTTTCTGTTCCAATTGCACATAAATCTGCTATCCTTGCTTACACTTGGGGCTGCGTAGTGTAATAGTACGAACCTTCTGTTTTTTAAATCTAACTCGCAAATAAAATTTTTCATTGAAATTGTTCACTTATTTGGTGGCACTTTTGCTATAATCACGATCTGTAGCATTTGAAATTTCGTAGCAACTGTTCCCTGCTTTAGTTGTGGCTAGTGTTTGTGATTAACTAAGCGTCCGTAGCTCACTGGTTAGTGCTTGAGACTCATAATCTCTAGGTCGCAGGTCGAATGCAAGACGTAGCCGAGTTTTTACTAAGTTCAGGCTTTTTTCTACTTTTTCTCATTGAATTTTATAGAGCTGCTTTTTAACGTGTTCTCGCTAGTGCTTGCGAAGCAAGCTTCGCTTTTGCGTAAAACATGCTATTTAATTTGCATTAACTTGCAATTAGATATCTTGGAAAAATCGTTTCGTCTCTTTCGGTAGCGGGCCTAGTGTAGGGTGGGGGATACGACGACCCCCTCTGGGATTCCTACGCCCCCTTTGCACTATTTTGAGATATTCATTTTTGGCCGACCAACCTTCAAATTTTGGCCGACCAACCGTCAAGAAATGACGCGTTGACTGCAAGGGAGAAATTTTGGTCAAAATAGTATCTTTTTAATGATTTGTGAGAGCTCTCAGCTCTCAAAATCAATTTTGTCGATGTAAAAAAAGTTTTGAAATATAACAAAATTTTGCTCAAAATTAAATCGATCCACCCGCCCATTGGTCTCTTTTTATGTTTATAAGCTTGATAAGAATGATGAAAGGGGAAGATCAATGGTTTCGTTATATGTAATGATGAAATATTAATTGAATATACCTGTGGCCGAACTTTTTTCTTTGCCTCAATAGCATGGTTGTGGTTTTTTGAATGTCTGTTCACGTTTCAGGAGTGGGTGTTGTTGTCATGAACGACCTTGGAGATGTGGCTGTCATAGTGACGTCACTCAATTCACCTTTCGGCTCTTATATTTTGTCGGACGATGGATATTTCTACAATAACTATGCAGCGGCTTTTGACGCTCCGGGGGTAAGGAATTTTTTTTTTTTTAGTTTTGATTATTCTGTTTTATTTCATTTTTTCGTCAAGCATAGATTTCTGTACATCTGAATAATTGCTTGTTCAGGTTCAAATATTGTAAGTCTGCTCTTTTCTCTGAAATTTGTTCTCTCGGTTTTTCATGCAGAGAAATGCAAATACAATTATGAATTAATTGATAATCTCAAGTGTATATTGTACTTCAAAATCTCAATTGTATATTGTAAAGTCTTTCTTATCTGATATTTCGAACTACTTTTTACTTTAATGAAAACAATATTTGTAAGGTAAAAAGTCAATGATCTCTACTATCCTCAAGGAAATCAATGATTGACTTCAATCACTTGTCGCTTAACTATGTGTCTGGAAATGTCCGTTTTTGTCATTTGACGAGTCGTGAAAAAATCGGGAATTAGGGACTTAATAAATATTAAGCTCACTAAATATTCTCGCGTTGATAGTTTAAAATAGCCTAAAGTTTTTCGACTTGCAACCATTTTTCATGACAGTGAAAAAAAACTAAATGCAGAAGTTTGAAACTATCATTTTCAGGATCAAAATGTATACTGAGAAAAAAGTAACAAATTGATAAACTATTTTGCTTTTCAATTGAGAATTAACAACGAAAATCTAACAACTAATAACCAGAATGGCATCACCGAAATTCAATACATAAATTCACGTATGGCACATAGATTTGATCCAGTTTTTCATAACTTCAATGTCCAAAGTTTTGCATGCCAAAATAATTCAGTGTACCAAAGGTACCAATTTGTGTGCCGAGTTTTACGTTTCACAATATCCCACGCATGCTCAATAGGGGTGAGGTCATGACTACAAAAAGGCAAGGCAACACTGGAACTGCATTCTTCACTAGAAATTGTGATGTCAATCGGACCGAGTGTCATTGAGCCTTATCTTGCTGAATTGCTACAATTCTTGGAGTATCCCGCAAAAAAGGCAATAATTGAATCGTAATATGCGGCAGCATTCAATGTTCCGTTTACGAAAATTGGTCGTGATCGATAATTTTCAGACATTCTACAAAATATTACCAATCCTTTGCCGCCTGATCTATCAGTTTCACGGAAGTTTTTTTTTCCGATAAATTGAAACTTGTAATTCAGACATCGCCTTTCGTCTGAGTTTAGAGGGAAGCGACATTCATCGCATTAGAGAACTTTTTTTCAATCACATATCCTGAGTTCGCGCAAAATCCCAAGCAAACATCTCAGGCGTTGTCTCTGACTAAGAAATGGTCTTCCAAGCGCAATTTTTTTTATTAAAGGAGCTGTTACTCCAAACTGCAGTGCTGCTGTAGTAGCGTTTTGAAAATGATGGAAAGAAAGAAATAAAGAATTTGCTTCTCCATTTATCAAATCATTACATTCATCAATTGAAAAATATATTCATAAATATTTTTCATAAATGAAGAAATCAACATGAATATGGAGATGATAGACGAAGGTCACAAGATGTGTCCAGTTAGACTCTACCCATTATATTCTGAGAAATGTTCTGATCGGCCTTGAGTATGTGAATTATTTTGCGAACCGATTTGAAATGCAATGCACTTGGTCTTGCTGATCGTCCAATATCATCTACTTAAAGAGTAATCTCTAGGTCATTCTATACTTTAGTGAAGTAGAAACATCTAAAAATGTGGATTTCTCTCTTATTGAAAGGCCACAAAGAACCATACCGATTGCATAGCTGCTATTTGATTAAGATTTAGTCGTTTTTACAAATCTCTCTTTGTAAGTTTTGTGTGATTGTGTTGAAATTTCAAGTGTCAGATGATTTATTTTTTGTTGTGTTCAGAAAACTAACTTAGTTTGATTTTTAAGGTGACAATTTATTCAGTTTTCTGAACGCAATGAAAACATTTACGGACAAACGAAATTTCAACACTGTCACAAAAAATCAACAAACAGCGTTTTGTTTCTCGAGCATAGATGATAGAATGAAGAGTCTGAACGTGGTGAAGACTGTTATATAGGTCTTGGCGATTTTTTGGAGTTTTTTTTCAGGAAAAAGTCTTAAATTGCTCTAATAACCCAAGACGTGCGACGTGCATTCATACATACTAAGGTTTTTATGAATGTAGTTAGGAATATATGCACTTTATGACTGCAATTCAAATGCATCTGATAAAAGTTACGTAAGTTTCACTCAACAAGGATGAAAGTGGAAATGGCGCTAAAAACCTGAACAAATTCTCGTTTCGAAAGAGTCATTAAAAATTCTCAGCGGAATAAACAAAATTACTTATTGATCCAGTTTTCTCGAATTCAGTTATTTTCATCAAAAAAGAGTCAGTAATATATTTATCTTGAAATTCAAAGAGCATTAAGGCCATTTTTACTGTGAACTTTGAAAATTGAAGTTTTTTTCAATTATAAATCAGTGCTTTTTGTTTCCTTGCGTTCAGGTACTCTTATCCAACTGTCTGTTGGCTAAGTTATTCAGTTTATTTGTACTATCACCTCAAATCTTTCGTTAAGTTTTTTTTGTTAAGATTTGATTGTCACACAAGAATTTTTTTAAATTTTTATGCCAGTTCAGAACTATTCCATGTGGGAGCTACCGTTGAAACCAATTATTAATGGAATCCTAGTTGAGCGTAGCGGTAGGCTATAATATAATTCTTTTTCCCATTTTTGATTTGAAGTAGATGGGAGAGCGATTTATATTGAGACTTATAGCCTTCCAATTCCCATTTTCACACAATTCACTTAAACTAAATATTTAAATTATTGATCAAAAGTTCTTAGAAATCAAAGATTCTGATATTCGTTCATGGCCTTTTCTGAGAAGAATTCTAATCCTGATTTAGAGCGGGTCAGTCAATGAGATGTCAGCCAACAAGCGACCTGCCAACACACTGGCTCCCCTGATTGCATTCGAGCCAGAAAACCTCTGCAAGACTCACCTGGCCGCTTCTTCCTCCGGATCAGTAGCCAGTGTGGCAGCTGTCAGTCAAGCGGTGTACGGAGTATTGGACAACAGGTGATAAATTTCAACCAATCAGATTCGAGAGTTTTTGAAGTATCAGAAAGCATCTGATTTGGAACCAAATTTGGTTTGTTTTTAAAGGTCATTGAGCGAAGTAAAGTTACTTATATAGGATGCACTGTTTTTTTAGTTTTTTTTCCATTATTTTTGATTTCCTTCACTTATTTTCCTTTTTTAAAAAGGTAGGCAAACTGAACTATCGAATAGCGAAAGTATAAATGTCAAGAAAAGCGTGATCGAAATTCGAAAGTGGAGATTTGAAGAAAAAAACAAGTCAGTTTTTTTTTAGTTTACTTGCGTTCATCGACTCTTTTCCATCTGTCTGTTGGCTATGTTTTTAAAGATCTGGTTAAATACTTTCTGTAAAATTTATGTATAGTTCGTTATGTTACCTTTATAAGCGAAGCGGGCAACAAAGCGGAGCACTCGAATCTCTATATTTATGGTTCAATTAGCTAATACACGTTTTGCTTTCGCGCTTTGTTCGCTTGAGACTTCCCATTATATTGAACTTCCAATTATTTTGAAAAATTTGTCTGGGGTTAATGATTAAATTGTTCAGCTATGCTATGACTGATGCTGTGAAAGATTAATTTGTTCAGCTATTCTATGACTGATGCTGTGAAAGAGGGAAGAGTGTTTGCCACTGCAGTTGTAGAAGATGCGGGCACGAGCAAACCAGACGAAGCATTTGAAGGTAGAAAATCTATGTTTTTTATGAGCTCTTATCTGAAATGCAAAGATGCAGCGGGTCTTTCTTCTCATTTTTCCAAAATTGACTCTATATCTGAGTTCCTTAGAATCGGAATTTTTCAAACAGTTTTTTTTTCTGAATTAAGGGGATGTTATAGAACCGCTGTTTCACTTATGCTTAAGAAATAGCCTCTGGGTGAATTTTTTGTTTTTTTTTGGGCAACGAGAACGGATGATTTTGAGTTTCTGAAACTCTTTAAAGTTTATGTACGAAATATAAGGGATATACTCAACAATCTCCCGCCCCCTTTCAAGAAAGGGGGGTTGTGAAGTAGATTACTTGCAGCGAATTTTCAGGGGTTGAGGTTGTTAAGTAGATCCAATATTAATTTTGTATACAGACAACAGCTCGATTGATTTTGACGTCATCAGTGAGTTGAATTCGTGGGGTCACGTGTTCAACATCCCTCTTCCCTCCGAGGTGCTCAATTTAGCCCGCAAGGAGAACGATGACGTCACTGGGACTAGTGACATTCGAGTGGATAGCCAGGGTGCAGTCGTGTTCTAAACTACATAAGATGTGGTCACATGAGTGTCCAATGAACACCAAATCATTTGGGCAAAGATCCTCAAAAACTTTACACGAATATATTCCGACGTTTTTGTAGTTCTATCCTATTCAATAGAAGGATTCTCTCTGGTGTATCTGAATTTAGTAGCTTGTAGCGAAGGTTGGTTGTAAATTTTGTATAGGAATTCTCTAGAAATTTGACTTCAATTCTCAAAATCAAGCATTTCAATCAATGTAATAGCAGCTTCTTTGTGAATCAGAAAGTTTCTGTGACTCGTCAAATTGAGTTTTCTAACGGAGCTTTAACATAAACGCATGCCCATAATTTTTGAAATGGTGGATCTTGTTAACTATCTCTCTGGCTGAAGTATTTTGAAACTAAAGACTGAAAATATTCATCCAATTAGTGATATCCATTCAAAAATTAGCCAAGAAAAGATTCAAAGTTTGACAGAGTTTGGAAAGTTTCTTCTTCTGAACAATTTGAATTCCAGTTTTTTTTAAATTTACAGCACAGCATACAAAGGTCAAATCAACCGAAATTTCTCATCTTGTGTAATAGAGATAGCTAAAGGGATCCTGGAGGATAAATACAGAGACGCTTACAAGCTAACCATTTGCTGGTTTATTAGCATGTTGTATTGTATTGCAAGTTGATATCGACTTTTATCAAATGAAGTATCATTCCTACTTAAGCCATATACTTAGAGTATCAAATTTATGTAATAGCTCGGTGAATGATCATATCTCCAATGAAATAAGTAATGATATGTATATATGAATTGGTGTGCGTGCCATAAGCCGAATTTGCAATAAATTGTACATTCATATGATTAGGCACGGGGCTTGTTGATACTTTTATGATTAACGTTAGAATAATATGATGGTATTGCCATTTTTAATCCCATAATTAAATCGTAATTGTAGCTGCAAGTCATCCATTTGCGGGTACTTCCATTGGCCCCTCTAGTGAGTTTTTCATTTCCTTCTTTACACTCGCGGGCGTAGTGTAAAATTTCGATGTTCTTTTTTCCAACTTAAGTTTTAGCAAATGTAAGTGCTACTTGTGGTGTCATTTTTGAAGCTGCCTGAAATGGCAGTTTGATAGAATGTGCTTTAACAATCGATTAGTAATTTGTTAACTCAGTTGGTAGATAGTAATAAGTTAACACAGTTGGTGCACCGAAAACAGCTATTTGTTTCAAACAACAGTACAATCATAAAAACTCGATTTCAGAACTTTCCCAACCCACTATATCTGGAAGTTTTTGAAATGCATAATTTATACACAATTTGGCTTAATGCTTTCCAATATCTAACATGTAAAATTGGGTCTATTTCTAATTGGTGCCATTTCAGCTGCAGCGCCTTGACTATTTCTTAGATTATGTAACTGCTTTAATGGTGAATAGTGTTACACAGGTCTTCTATTATATTATAATTAGCCTCCGGTCCTGCTCAATGCAGGGCCAACCGTGGGGGAGGGGGTACTGTCATCCATTTCGCCGCAGCCAGTCCAACCTTGAGGAGGCGGAAGACTTTGGGACCCCTCCAACCGTGACCGAAGTGGGATTCGAACGCATGACTCTCGTGTTGAGAGACGTTTGCCTAACCCACTCGGCCTAGGCTGCTCGTGAGGTCTTCTCGTAAGTCGCGCCGTCAGTTTTTTCTTACGTCACGCCGTCAGTCTTTTATTAAGTCGCGGCGTCAAACTTTTCGTAAGTCGCGCCGTCAGGCTTTTCTTAAGTCGCGCCGTCGGTCTTTTCTTAAATGTTGCCGTCAGTTATTTCTTTAGTCGCACATTCACTACGTTCTTAAATCGCACAGTCACTATGTTCTTAAATCGCGCAGTCACTATGTTCTTAAAATGCGGTGTCAGTCTTTTCCTAAGTCGCGATGTCAGTGTTTTCGTAAGTCGTGCCGTTTTAATCTTTTTTAGAGCGCGCTGTCGGCCGTTTCTTAAGTCGCGCCGTCAATATTTTGTTGGGCCGCTCCGTTAGTCTTTTCATGAATCGCGCCGTCTTTCTTTTAGGTCGCACCGCCACTATTCTGTTCAAGTCAAGGTGTTGGTGTTTTTGCCAGTCGCGGTGCTTATGTCTTTTTGTGGTCACGTCGTTTAGTTTTTCCAGGGTGACCACTTGGTCACTTTTTTAGTGACCAGTCACTATTGGTCACTATTTTTTCAATAGCCACTAAAAGTCACTGTTTACAACAAAGCTTTCTGTTTTTATTATTTTTTAAAGGGTCCCCTCTTTGCACTATTTTGAGATATCCGTTTTTGGTGACGGACCGTAAAATTTTTCTAATGGCGCCTTCAGTCTTTTGGTGGGCCGCTCCGTTAGTCTTTTCTTGAATCGCGCCGTCTTTCTTTTAGGTCGCACTGCCACTTTTCTGTTCAAGTCAAGGTGTTGGTGTTTTTGCCAGTCGCGGTGCTTATGTCTTTTTGTGGTCGCGTCGTTTAGTCTTTTCCAGAGTGACCACTTGGTCACTATTTTAGTGACCAGTCACTATTGGTCACTATTTTTTCAATGGTCACTAAAAGTCACTATTTACAACAGAGTTTTCTGTTTTTTATTATTTTTTAAAGGGTCCCCTCTTTGCACTATTTTCAGATATCCGTTTTTGGTGACGGACCGTAAAATTTTTTTAAAGGCGCCTTCAGTATTTTGTTGGGCCGCTCCGTGAGTCTTTCCTTGAATCGCGCCGTCTTTCTTTTAGGTCGCACCGCCATTTTTCTGTTCAAGTCAAGGTGTTGGTGTTTTTGCCAGTCGCGGTGCTTATGTCTTTTTGTGGTCGCGTCGTTTAGTCTTTTCCAGGGTGACCACTTGGTCACTATTTTAATTCCAGTCACTATTGGTCTTTTTTTTTCAATAGCCACTAAAAGTCACTGTTTACAACAAAGCTTTCTGTTTTTATTATTTTTTAAAGGGTCCCCTCTTTGCACTATTTTGAGATATCCGTTTTTGGTGACGGACCGTAAATTTTTTCTAAAGGCGCCTTCAGTCTTTTATTGGGCCGCTCCGTTAGTCTTTTCTTGAATCGCGCCGTCTTTCTTTTAGGTCGCACTGCCACTTTTCTGTTCAAGTCAAGGTGTTGGTGATTTTGCCAGTCGCGGTGCTTATGTCTTTTTGTGGTCGCGTCGTTTAGTCTTTTCCAGGGTGACCACTTGGTCACTTTTTTAGTGTTCAGTCACTATTGGTCACTAATTTTTCAATGGTCACTAAAAGACACTATTTACAACAGAGCTTTCTGTTTTTTAGTATTTTTCAAAGGGTCCCCTCTTTGCACTATTTTGAGATATCCGTTTTTGGTGACGGACCGTAAAAATTTTCGTAAGGCGCCTTCAGTTTTTTGTTGGGCCGCTCCGTTAGTCTTTTCTTGAATCGCGCCGTCTTTCTTTTAGGTCGCACCGCCACTTTTCTGTTCAAGTCAAGGTGTTGGTGTTTTTGCCAGTCGCGGTGCTTATGTCTTTTTGTGGTCTCTTCGTTTAGTCTTTTCCAGGGTGACCACTTGTTCACTAGTTTAGTGACCAGTCACTATTGGTCTCTATTTTTTCAATGGTCACTAAAAGTCACCATTTACAAAAAAGCTTTCTGATTTTTAATAATTTTTAAAGCGTCCCTCCCCTCTTTGCACTGTTTTGAGATAACCGTTTTTGGTGACGGACCGTAAATTTTTTCTAAAGGCGCCTTTGGCACCAATATATACTAAAATTGAGGGGGGAGCGCGCCGAAAAAACGCATTTTTTTTCAAAATTTTTCAAAAAATGCCTATTAGTTCAAAATAATGCCTGCGGAGCAGAATTTTTGGCCAAAACAGGGACTTTTTAGTACTTTGGCAGAGCTTGAAAATTTAATTTGCAAGAGCTAAAAAAAAGATCGACAAAAAATTCGAAAATTGTCGTAGTCACTATTTTTCTCTCAAAAAATGGTCACCCTGGTCTTTTCTGAAGCTTCGCGCCGTCATTCTTTTCGTAAGTCGCGTCGTCAGTCTTTTCTAGAAAAGTTACATTTTTTTTCCACAAAAAAAACGTACACCACTTGAAAAAATTGCCCTTTTTTCACTTCAAATCTTTCAACTTGACGCCATCTGCAACACAAAAAAAACACTCATTGAAAAACATAAGTTGCGCTAGCGATAATCAAATCGGAATATATACATTTTTTTCGGTTTTACAACTTGTTTAACAGAATCATTAGTATTCTTAGGTATGTTGGCTTACAATGAAGTCAAGTTTTTAAGCGTCTCCGGCACTCTTAGTCTGGAGGTGAGGTAATTAATACGCCTGGTACGCCAAAGGTGGTGAGTTTGAATCTGACTAGGACCTGTTTTTTTTCAAACGACAAATATTTTCAAACGACAAAATATGCTCAACTCTATCAGTCAACTCTGAGCCAACGGTCTTTCTTTCACTGATTCTTGTCGGCAATAGCATCTCTTCATCCAGGCTAGCCTCGCCAAATTGCTCTTTTCTCAAATGAGTTTCAAGAATGACGGTTTTGGACCCGTGTTTAAGATTCCAGGTTGATATGATTCGAAATCGACAGAACAGGTGGTTTTGGCCCATTTTTTTGAGAACAGCCGATTTGTCAATGCTGAAGGGCCAAGATTATCTTCCGCTACTGCGACAGTTGGTATGCCACTTCTATTTCCATCGTGCTTTCGGATATCCACTCTTAGCTACACCTTAAAATTAATATCCCAGACGAAGGGCATTAAAGAACATAAAGACTGACTGAGATCAAAACTACCAAAGAAATCAAAGCCGCCAAGAAGTTTGTCTCAGACGAAGGTCGGTAAACAACAAAAAATTAAACCAAGTCAACATAACCTTTTCAGCTAAAGCTCGATTTTTTTCAAGGCTTTAGTATTACTAGTTTTCAGATCTTCTCCAGTAAAACAGCCGCCACACAGCATTACTCTTCGGTCAACAACGCCAAGGGCTCATCTTGTGTTTAACACAGCGCTTTACAATACCACCAAAATGTTGAGTAAATATGCAGTCTATAAGAACGCTTTCTGGCGAATATGTCAACAAAATGTTTAAAGTTCAATCAATTGGGGATCTTACATCAATACGTTTGATTTCTTTTCGTTTTTTTTATTACTGGATCCAACCTCACTATCTTGTAGTGACAGGGCGACTAATTCTGGCTTGTTTATAGACAAGCATAACTTTCATATCAGAATCTGAACCGCCGCCTGCAGATCTTGACTTTATGGCGGAAAATAGCGTACCATTTTGACTACTCCTTCCCCTTTAAGACTAATCTCATCGTCGACTTTTAGGTTTAAGAATCTAGTGTTTTATCCGGCAACATTTGTTGATAAAGATTCCTTGAAAATGAATAGGACAATGTGATGTTAATTGGTTGGGATAGTGATTTTAAACGTTTAATTTTAATAAAGTTTTCTTTAAAGCGCAAAGTTTTATTATAATCGATTTTTATTATGGAGGTATCAAAGGAGAGGCCAGTAAGTGGGAAATCGAAAATAGTAGAACAAGATCATTAGAATATTATTATAAAAGAAAGATATGAAAGCAAGATAGTTTTTGTTGCACCGCACAGTCGAAAGATCATAAACGACAAGTATTTTGGGCACAGATTTAACATTAGAAATAGTAAAAAAAAATCTCAATATTTTTAAAAATTGAGTCTATTGCTAAATCGGGTTATGGCACTACCACACTTAAGTCATTTTTATATTTGAGCCTAATATTCATCTGCCCATTTCATCCCTGTATATGCGAGTCTATATCATTAATTCAATTATTTTAGTTGATGAAATACAATTTGCTTAAATCTTTCTTTTTAAAGAAGTTTTATTAGAAATAATAGTTCGTGGTTATTATCCACCACGTGGTATCTAGATGAAAATTAGAAATGAGATGATTGGCGTTAAAGGTTCAAAATAATTAGATGTTTTGTAATAATCAGCACCAAATAAGTAGTTCTGAAAAGAATAAACACCCCGATAAAGGACTCATGCAGCAAAATAGCGGTAGAACTATTTTGAGAGAAGGAGAAAACTTCAGGAAAATGGTTCAAGTTCTTATAGACTACAAAATAGAATAAACTGTTACCTAAGAATTATTACAGTGTTCGATTTAATAATAACTTTCAGGAATTGTTCATGACATAGCTATGTATGCTGATACGTTCGAAGTGCAGGGGTCATTCAAGCTTGTAGAGGTGACCTTGAACTCGGGGTCAAGTGAGGACCTCTCAGTGCGAGTGGTGTGCGATGCATTCAAAAAGGAGCTGGGTGAAGTTGAAAAGGAACTGCAGAGGATTAATGGGCCAGCTTTTGGACTGCAGACGGTCCCAGATTTGTACCCTGGTATGAGATGTGTTACGTTTGACAAGAGAATGAGGTAAGCTAATTCAAAACAGCGATAGGTGAAAAATTTGAGGGGTTATTCTCATTCGCGAAGGACCGATTGCGCGAAAATTTCTTATCAATCAACACCCTTTAAACTATCCTAAATCGACGGAATTTATCGTCTATTTCTTTCGAATACTGCTCTCTAATTGGTTGACAAAATTTTTTGTGCGTTCGGTCCTTCGCTCATGAGGAAATCCCTCAAAAGTTTTGATCTAATTTAAGTCTGATCGAAGTTTTTGGTCAAAAAGCTAATAATATATTCGATCTCGCAGGTTGTAGCAGTTCCCTTTATAGCAGCTCGCGTTCTATGTAACAGCTCTTGAATGTAGTAATTGCTCTGTAATTGCTATGTAGCAGGTCTTAAAAGTTACCAAAAAGTTAATCAAATCGGTCTGGTTAAGTGACAATGAGTGACAATAATCTCCTTAAGTTTATTGACCTTGTTCCTGCTGTATGTTGGCTCTGCTATGCTTAGATGGATTTTGGCATAAAATGATTTATCATAGAATGTGATTCCTATTCTTTTTTTTTGTTTTTGCTTCAGGAAATTCCTTCGCTCTGAAGTGTGCAATGTCTTCTTGGATAACCAAAGATCTGTCTCTTGCAGATCACTCGATTACGGGCATCTGGTCACAGTTACTTCCGATTTCGTAAGGCCACTGCCGAAGTCTCTATCCCACGAAGCAGTCCCATTTAGATGCATTACTCTTTACCTGAACAGAGTTGCAAAAACACGAGAAAGTGGTGTTGATATTACTGGATTAGAGGAACGTCTGGAAAGATCAGGACTTCTCAGTGCTTCGGTTAAATCGCTAATAGTGACCGGATTCGATGGTGATGAGTTTTGTGGCGATGTTCAGCTACAAAATGGGAAATTGTTGTCATTTTTTCTTCGAGAAAATTTTAAAACTCTCGTGATATTCAAACCAGAGACTAAATTACAGTTTGATTTTATCAAAATGGCATCAGTTGAGAACCTGAAGTTAAAAGCGAAAACAATTTTTATGGAAGATCTCCTTGAGCGAGTTGATCAATATCAAAACAAATTGATTCCTGAAAATGAAGATCATACTTCTAGAAGTTCACCGCAATCAAAAAACTCTGCGACAAATTCGACAAAACTTCAACAGAGATTTGTCCAGAATTGGTCTGAACATTTTGACACAATCAACCTAAATGGCCTAGACAACCCTGGTTTTGTATCTGCTCGCGAAAGCAAAAACCCACGAGGTGGAAAGTCTGACCTTGATTTTGAGAGAGAAGTTTCCAGTTCAGAAAATGCAATGCTGCAGTGTGATTCGGGAGATGCTAGTGTTCGGTTATTAAACAGACAAAAGCACCGTTTTGAAAACGAAGAAAGATCGTCTCTCGGACAAGAAACGGTTTCTGAGAGTGTAAAGTCATTGAGAAATATGAAGTTAGCCGAGATGATCAAAAAGAAATCTCGAAAAGGAGTAAATTTGTCTTCAAGCTCAGAGAACACCCAAGAAACTAGATTGGAAAATAAAGATATTTTAAAGGACAACGAGCAAAGGAGTGATGCTTACTTACAGTCTGGGAGTGAGTCTTCAGTAATCTCCGACGAGACCGAAAGTTCAGCTTTACCTTTCCCATACACTTATGAGAAACAGGACTTAAATGTTGCTAGCTTCAAAAATGAAGACAGCTCTTTTTCAAACTTGATGAACGAAGGTTTACCTGTCCATTTCTACGATGATGCCATCGTGATTGGGAAAACACAGAAGCCTTGGAATTGTACCAACCAGTTTATGGAAAATGTTAATTGGACAATGCGAGAAGAGAATATGAACATATTGAGTAGTTATATCTTCCCAATAAGTGCGATTTGGGGTTCAGATGTAATCGGAATTGCCAGTGACGACTTTCAGAGAAAATTAAATGTTGTCAATTTGTGCTTATGGATGCAGGCTACGAGATTAGTTAGAGTATTTGAGGAACGCGCGGACGGATATTACCGTGGCATAAATTTGAATGGTCCGGCATTTGTAATAGTTGTGCCAAACTATAAGTCGGCAATGAGAGTTGAGGAGGTCATATAAAATTTCAGCAGATATATTTATTCTAAGGAAGCCAGAAGAAAAGAAAGTGAAAACTTTCAGTATGATATCAAAAACCAAAACTCACGGAACCAAGAACAGAATAAAACAAGGATAATCGCTTGCTATGCAAGTATTGCGGAATGTTTCAATCGCAAAGATTACACAAAAAATCAATAATGAAGAAAAATTTTGTCTCATTGATTCCAAAAATGAATGAATTCTGTCTTTTTTCTTGCAAAAATGTCTGGTACTTTGAGCTTTCTTTCCTATTTACACCATCGGAACGTAGTGTGATAGTACGATGCAACTTTTTTTTCCAGCTTAAGTCGCAAATTGAAATATTGATTTTTGAAATGCATATTTTACTTACATTTTGGCGCAATACATTCTATTTTATTACATGCAAAGTTAATGTGTTTAACCTTAGTTTATTACAGTCCAAATTATGACCTGCAAAATTTGAGTTTTTGTGCATTTTAAAGCTCCTGAATATTTACCGCTTTTCGCTCGTGCTTCGCCTATGTGTAGAGAAATTGCTGTTGATTCTTTACGGGTTTCATTTTCCCCAAGTGGACAATTGTTTTGTTTCGGTATAATTTCAGTAGATCTCTTAATTGCTCATATTATTGACGATTGATTTAGCCGAGTAATCAAAACAGGTCTTGGACGATTGATTGAGTCGCATGTATTTTTGCTTGTTGTTTACTTTTAGAGGAACTGTAGCTAGGCATGCGAGAGGAAGACATATGGCTGAGTAGAAATGGAAAGTAACATCTAATCTTGTGGTTTTAAGAGTCGATGAAAGTCGTTCAGGTTAATATAGGTCGTGATGATTTTTTTTTAAAATTTTTAATATGAGTTCACGCTCAAACTTCTTTTTTTTTCGCCGTTTGAATTTGGATTTCTTTTCAATTTCAGTTCTTTTATTTTGATTAAAGGAATGCAAACTCTATCGAAGAGCTAAAGTGTATAGGTCACAAAAAACGTGATCGACTTCTTGTTTCGAAAGTGGAATTTAATTTTTAGATTTCCCAGTGGAATAAAAATTTTGCTTAATAATCCAGTTTTCTCAAATTGGGTTATTTTGATCAAGAAGGTGCCAATCATGATTTGTTCTGGAAATTGAAAGAGCCATCTATTTTTTCTTTTGAATTTTGAAAGTAAAAGTTTTTTTGAAAAAACATTGTGTTTTTTCTCTTTTCTTGCGTTCTTGATTTCTTTTCCAATTGTCTGTTGTCTATGTTATAAATGCGCAATCGAGGCTCAAAAACGAAAAAAAAGTTAATTTCATGAACCTCGAAATCACGAAGAAAACAAGGGCCATGACTTCTTATAAAAAAAGGAAAAATAATTTAAGCCATTAAGTCGTCGGATTCGTACATACCATAAATAAAAATCAAATTTGAAATTGAATCTTGAAGTTCTCTGACTCTCTTTCCTGGTCGATTTTTTTTATCGATTAGTTATTTTTTGTTTCCTTTTTCCTTTCTCCGAAAATTAAAAACTGGAAAGAAATTTTGAGGCTGTTTACCTATAGGAGTTTCTTCATGCTCCGACCACCGAAAATTGATTCAATTTTGTATCCGAGTGTACTTCAATTTGTTCAGTTTTTACTTTTTTCAACTTATATTTTCCTTCAAAATCAGGTAATAAACTATAATAAGTTTAGTTGGAATTTTATAGAATTTTTCCTGAGTTTTCTTGTATTTTTTCATTTTTAAAGCTCTTGCCGTTTTGTGTCTGCGAAGTTATCCTAGTGCTGTATAAACAGTTTATTATAAACAGTTTATTAGACTGTCTCGTCCCAATATGAAATCATAATTTTCAGCTTTGCGGTGGCTACCAGCTGACACTGATTAGAATACTAAAATTCAAGCCCATATTAAGTAACCGCCTCGACCATTTTTCAATCTGTCATGGCTTTTTAAGTCGCGTTTCGTGCCTTTTCAAGTTGGTAGGTTCTGTTTTTTTTTTAAATTAGTTTTTCTTTAAAGGAAAAAGTCATTTAGGTTGATCCCCGTTCAAGTTTGATTTTTCGCAGTTTGACTTTTAATTTATTTTCAAGCTAGTTCATTTCCTTTAAAAGAAAGGCAAGCTCCACTGTCGAACATCAAAAGTGTGCAGTTCACTAAAAAAAATTGGATAATTTTTAGTTTCAAAAATGGGCTCTGGTTTTACCAACTCCCCGCGGAAGAATTACGACTTGATCCAATTTTCTCTGAATGAGATTACGAAAAAAAGTCCAATCTTGAATAATTCTTGAAATTCAGATTGAAGTCATTGAACGGATTGAAAATTTTTTGAAAATCCGCCTCCCCCCCCCCCTCCCTCGATTGAAAACCCTAGATCTGCCCCTGATTCACAAATGTCAATTTCCTTTGGCCACTTTAAAGTCGTAAATATATCTGCTTTAATTTGGTCGAACAGATCTTTGCAAAATGTTTGAGCCGATTCCTCAAATGGAAACCACGCATTAAAATCGATTACGGCTGGGGCGATTCATCCGTCTGTCACATGTTAATCACTACACCCACTCGTTTGCTGGAAAACCTGAACTCCAACAAAGTCAACTTCAACCGGACGAAAGTTTTCATGATAGAAGAGTGTGATATCATTTTTGAGAGCATGAACAGAGAAATGACCGAATGCATGAATAAGTTCAAGAGATCTGAAGGTCAACGACTCGTAGGCGATTGGCGTTTCTTTTTGTTTTCACGGTTTTATCATCGGAAAATGGACTCGTTTTTGAAAGTTCGAAAGTGGAAGGTTAAAAGTAAGCCTGAAAATGTATCAATAATTTTCGCAGACTTATTCCAAGGAACTACTTTCATGGGTGCTAACAATTGTCCGTTGATTTGTAGTCCAAAGTCACCTGAAAAATATCAACTAGCATTTAGAGTTTTGGATGTTAATTGCGCTGAGAACTCCAATGTAGTATTTCTTTGCTCGCACGAAGAAACTTGTCTCTATTTAAGTTCAAGATTATTTGACGAAGGTTACAATGTTGTTCGTATGATTCACGGCAAAATCGATTCAAGGCTTCAACCTGAAAACCAACTAGATAATCTTAAAAAGTCCGTTACTATCGTAGTAACAACAGATAGTGGTTTAGCCAGTTTGAGAGAAATTGAATTGGCCTTTGACGTCGTGGTGTTCTACGAAGGAGTTGATTATCATCATTTGGATGCTGAATTCGTTTTGAGCCGAAGGTGTAGCGTTCTTTTAACTGCTCTTTCGGAGCAAAGGGCAGCGAAACCAAAAGTATTTCACTTCATTTCAGAACGAGAAACAGTCAGCTATATTACAATGCTAAATGAGAAGTTGAAAACTTCAGGTAATCTGAACTGTTTGAAAGGAAATGTTGGCAAAAATTTTCAAGACATGGTTGAAGAGATGTTTGTGAATTATGAAAAACAGAAAATCAAACCAGGAAAAGTTTTCAGTCTCTGTGATTCGATGTTACTTCATCCAAGATATGCGACCGTTTCCAAACGGTTTATAAATTGCGGCAATCTAAGTTGTGAACAAAGGCATCAAATTTTGCCAACAGATTGGCCTGGTAATGACCCTAAACATGTGAAGCTACCAACTCATGGATACTTTCGGATTCGAGTTAGACAAGTTACTGGAGCTAATTCGTTTTTTGCAACTCTTGATGATTACAGAGAAAAACAAACGGAGCCTTACCAAGAATTCAGCCGGGATGTTTTACGACAGATTGAAGACGAGATCGATGATTGTGTCCCGTTTTTGAAACTAGTAGACCCAAAGTCTGTGAAAGCAGGAAAACTTTATTTGATAAAACGGAATAGAATTTTACACCGTGCTGTAGTTACAAAATTTCATTCGACAAACTCGTTCGGACATCCAACTTCCGTTGATGTTTTTCGTGTGGATGTTGGCGATACCATTTTTGACATCCAAATCTCGAATGTCCACGAGATACCGAAAATCGAAAGGGATGTACGTCGTATCCCTGGACAAGCTTTCAAAGTAATCATTCTGGGACTCACAGGAGTAGATGGGAAACTTGACTTTCCTCCTCAAATTGTTAAGTACGTTGAAGATAAAATTCAGGGAAAACTTCTAGAAGGAATGATTGTTTTATCGTTGAGTAACGTTATGTTTGTTCACTTATTGACACTTCGTGAAAAAATGGCGGATGGTTCTTATCCAAAAGCTGGTTATAGAATAAAAAACGACCTTCTGGAAAAGAAGTACTGTGTCAAAAATGACAACCAGATGTTTCTAATTCACGAAGCGGCAAAAGAACTTTTTGAAGAATTGCCAGTTTTGAAAAAACTTCTGGCTGCAACTGATATACGTTACCACGAAGATGACAAACTGAGTCAAGGAGAGTTTTCGCCTTGTTATTTAGTCGCGAGTCATACCAAGAAAAACATTAACGAATTTTTTGTAATTAAACGAGAAACGCTCGCTGGCATTGAGAAGCTAAACGAACGAATCGCGAAAGAAGCGCCAAGTTATAATGCAGTTGCGCAAACCGAACCTGGTAAATATCTAGTGGCGAATGTCAAACGAAAAGAAAGTAGCAGTGCTAACACGTGGGCTAGAGCGAAAGTAGTGAGAGTTAACGTTGTGAAAAAAGAGGCGAATGTACTCTTGATTGATACTGGTGAAATGCATGTAGTGAAATACTCGAGGTTGAAAGTGTGCCCAAATGATGTGTTTGTATTACCCTCTGCAGCTATTGGCTGTTGTTTAGTGGGCATTAGACCGGTTGAAGCCGCCTATGGATACAGGTGAGTTTGATGGATTCAATCTTAAACTCTTTACCATGTATCATCGTAATTTTAGCTATTTTTTTAATCAAACTTTTTACCGATTTGTTTGAAAATGTATGAAAAGAAATGTTAAAATTAAGGTTAATTAAGGAAGTAGCTCGCATTCTATTGCTCCGAGCTCTTGGTTACGAAGTTTTGTCCCATAAAGAAAAGTGAGGAAGTTTCGTGGATTTTGATGCTGCCAATCAACAGGTTCAAGTTGATGCAATTTGTTCACATTAATTTCAGAACTGACTGTAATTTCTTGCTGTTTTGTTTTCGGATTTGATATTTAAAGTTAAGTGTCAATCAACGCCGTGAAGACATTAACATAGGTTGTGCTAATTTTTTGGTACCAAAATCAATTGGTATGATAATTAGGAATTCAAATTAAGGAAGCAGAAATAGCGGGAAAATTTTGGACGAGTTTAAGTTTCGAAATTGGATTTTTATTTCTATATTTAAGCTTGCGATTAGCAAGCGTTATCGAACTGGAATATAGACTTTTTTCGGGTTAACAACTTGCTTAACAGAATCAATTGTATCTTGTTTCACAGTGAGTTCAAACTTTTATGCGTTCTAGGCCAACTTAGGCCGGAGTTAACGATTATTCCTGGGACGGCAGATGTCCTGGGTTCGAATCTGACAAGGACCTGTTTTTTTTTAAACGAAATAAATATTCTATTTCAAATATAATTATCAGTCATGCATTTGTCTGCTTATATGTCGTCGGCTTAGTTGTCACATCTTGGAATTGATTTTTTTGCTGCGCGCTGTTTTCTTTAATGTTACTTTTTTTAGTGTTTGGTTTACTCCTACAATTTGTAATTTTACTTAACTTGATTTCGTTTTTTTCTGTTTGTTTTGTTTGGTTAAGAATTCTTGTTTGATAAAAGCAGCTATAAGGAAAATACATCGGATCGATTTTTTTATTATGATTTTTTTGAAGTTGAGACACTTTGGAAAATTATTCTTTTTTTTTCAAAATTTTACTTATTCTCAAAAACTACTCGACCGATTTTCAAAAAAGTTGTACCAGTGGGAAGTCCGCCCACTGTGATCTGCATAATACCCTAGCCTGCATAAATCCCCTGTAGCCTGCATAATCCCCTGGTCTCTTTTTACTTTAACCCACTTTCGGAAAAGTGTGTGTTGTGTGGGGGATTTTTGACCCTTATTTTTGGATGTTATATATTTTCTCAAAAAATATTCTCCTAAATTTGAGATTTTGTGTTCAATGCATAAAAAAAGTTGTGAAAGCTCCCCTGCGTTAGCGGCTACGCCCAAATGTTTTTCCACAAAATGTTACGGCCTTCAGAAAGTCAAATTTTTTCAATCTTTTGACTTTTCTCGAAAACTACCGTCCCAATTCAGAGATTTTGGTTTTATTGTGTAGAATTTAGTGTGGAAAGCTCCGCTGTTTAAAAAATTACGCAAAAACTTCTTAAACACACAAAGTTATAATCCTCGGAAAAGACAAATTTTCGATTTTATGACCGTTTGTTAAAACTTTTTGACTTTTCTCAGAAAATATTCTCCCAAATCTGAGATTTGGCTTACATTATGTGGAAAGGGTTGTGAGAAGTTCCTCTGCCTTAGCGGCTACGCTCAATTTTTTTACACAAAAACTTATGGCCCTCAGAAGAATCAAGTTTTCTATTTTTTGACTTTATTTAACTTATGATTTTCTCAAAATTTACAATTCCAAATCTGAGATTTTAGTTTCATTGAGTAGAATGGGCTGTGGGAAACTCCCATGCATAGTTGCTTACGCCCAAATTTCTTTGAGCAAAAAGTCATGACCCTCGGAAAAGTCATGACCCTCGGATTTTTGACCGTTTATTGAAACTTAACTTTTCTCGAAAATACCCTCTCAAATCTGAGGTTTTGATTTCAATCAAAATACGGGTTGTGGTAAGCTCTCCTGTTTCAGCCCAATTTTTGTAACGAAAGAAGTTATGACTCTCGGAAAAGTCAATCTTTTCATTTTTTGACATTTTTTGACTACAGAAACTTCACTCCTACATCTGAGATTTTTGTGTCAATGGGTAGAACTGGTTATGGGAAGCTCTCTTGCATAATTGGTTACGCTAAATTTTTTAAAACAAAGTTTATGAACCTGGGAAACGCCATTGTTTTGATTTTTTATCAATATTTTGAAACTTTTCGACTCTTCGCGAAAACAATTCAATCTGATATTAAGGGTTTAATCGAGGCAGCAGGTGTTGGGAAGCCTCCGTGCATAAGATGGGAAGCGTACAGAAATTTTGTACAGAAAATTTTGTACAGAAAAAAAATTTGTTTCTGGGAAAAATCCTAAATCACAAAAAAATTCCTTAATATTTTAATTGAGCAACAACTAAGGTACTCCAACAATTTTAACAGGTACTCCAACTTCACACAGGTACTCCAACTTTAGCTGCACCTCTAGTGTTCCTCGGCCCAATTTATTTCGGCCTAATTTTTATTGGCTTAATGACCTTAATTTGGGTCGCTTTATAGGGAAACACAATTTAACACTTTCTTCGCATTTTTCAAATAGTTTGAAATATTTTTTCTTTATGGAAAATTGTTTTCAAATTAAGTTTTTTTTCTGAAAGTTCTTCTGAGTTTCAAAAAAGGAGTGTCAATTGAAAGACCACCTACTCCACTCAGTGGCTGTATAGTCCCATAGACTTTCTTTTTACTTGAACCCACTGTCATTAGCCTTCGAAGAAGTCTGTGGGGAAATATTTGACCCTTTTTTATTTTGTTTTCGTTTTAACAAAAACGACCCTTCTGAAATCTAAAACCTTGCTTTCAATAAAAAGAACGGTTTTTGAAACGCTCCCTGCATGAGCGGCTACGCCCAAATTTTTGTTAAAACATAAAGTTATGGCCTTTGGAATAGTCAAATTTTTGATTTTGATCCGTTTTGTGAATATTTTTTTTGACCTTTCACGAAAACTGACATCTCATATCTGATATTGGGGGTTCAATGCAGATAACTGGAAGTGAGAAGCTCCCCTACCTGGGCGGTCACTCTTAAAGTAATTTACACAAAAGTTATCGCCCTCGGAAAAATCAAGTTTTTTGATTTTTCGACCGTTTTTTAAACTTTTTTGAATATTCCCGAAAACTAACCTGCCATATCTGAGATCTTCTGTTAACTCTTAAAAAGGGTTGTGGAAAGATCATTTGCTTATGCAACGACTCCCAAATTTTTCTGACGCCAAAAATTATGGTCCTCGGAAAATTCAATTTTTTTAGTTTTGTTTTAGTTTTTGAACTTTTCGAGAACTACCCTCCAAATTCCAAGATTTTGGGTTCAATCGAAATTACATGTTGCTTGAATAACTTCTGCACAAGTGGCTACGCCCTGTTTTTTTTACACAAAAAGCTATGATTCTCGGATATGTCAAATTTTTAAATAGTTGACCGTTTTTTGGGTTTTCTCGCCAACTATCCTGCCATATCTGAGATCTTCTGTTAATTCTTAAAAAGGGTTGTGGAAAGATCATTTGCTTATGCGACGACTCCCATTTTTTTCTGACGCCAAAAATTATTGTCCTCGAAAAATTCAACTTTTTTTGTTCTCTTAGTTTTTGAATTTTTCGAGAACTACCCTCCAAATTCCAAGATTTTGGGTTCAATCGAAATTTCATGTTGCTTGAATTACTTCTGCATAAGTGGCTACGCCCTTTTTTCACAAAAAGCTATGATTTTCGGATATGTCAATTTTTTCTATTGTTGACCGTTTTCTGAATTTTCTCGCCAACTATCCTGCCAAATCTGATATCATAGGTTAAATCGAAGCAACAGGTTGATGAACGCCTTTTTTTATACCTGGCTATGTTCAGTTTGTTTAAGAAAAAAATTATGGCCTTCAAACAAGTCGAAGTTTTGAAACTTTGACAGTTTGTTTTTGGATTTTTTTTGCTTTACGCGAAAACTACCGTGCCATTTCTCCGGTTGTTTTCAATCGAGGATCCCGGTTTTGGGTATCTTCTCTGCTTAAGTGGCCACAACCTGCTTTTAGTAGAAAAAACTTATGGATTTTAGAAATCCTTTTGACCGTTTTGTAGAAGTTTTTTTGAATTTTCTTAAAATTTACTCGATCAAATTTGAGATGAAAAGTTCAATTGGAAGAACTGGTTGCTAAAATGGTTCATGTAGAAGGGGCGACTATTTAGTTTTTGGTATTAAAAATGTTATCCTCCTTGGGAAGAGTCTCAAAGTTTTTTACTCTCGCATATTTTAGTAGAGAAAGAACTAAGGTTTTGGTGGGCAAAGTCCAGTTTTTGAAATCACTTTCTTTGTGCTGCATCAGTCTAGCATATTGTTTCAAAATCAAACAGGTATCTCCAGACTTAGCTGGCCCCTAGTTGCCTTTTATCGAGACATACGAAAATTTAGTTTCACTTAGTTCTTACTTTAATTTTTTTTCGACTTACAGTTTTTTCATGTTTGTGTTGTATCGCAAGTAGTGCTAAGCTCCGCTTCGCCTCTTTGCTTGATATTTTTTTCAGCTGAATAAAACCTATACCTACTGATCCAGTTTTCTCACATTTTGGATTAAAATATCACTCATAAATTGTTTTTGGAGTTTGAAGAGTTTTGAGGGCATATATTTTTCATCTGTCGGCTGTTTCAGTTTGTTTCAAACTGCAGTCTCAGAGAGCGAAGTTTGATTTTCACACTAAGTTTTTTCCTAGTGCCCCGAGCACTGAAAATTTGGGAGGAACATGGTATTCGGTCTTCTTTTAGGTTTTAAATTACTTTCTACCCAAAATTATGTGCCACTAACAAAGGTCAGGTGAGGTCGAGTGATATAACCAATGAAAGCCCTTTTAATCGTGATTCGATCGATTCTTGAAAAGTGCCAAAAGTTAACCAAAATTGTGAAACTGATCGAGAAAACTGGTTGAAAAATTGAGTTTTATTCCAAATTAAAACCAGTGAGTCAAGAGATAGTTCTTTTCTGGCATCAATAGTCCAACATTAGTCCCTCTCCCCATGCGCAAATAAAACAACACAAATTTGATTAATAATTGAAATTCATTGTATATTTTTTGAAAATAAGTAAACAACTTGCAACTGAAACTTTGTGTTTCAAATTCTTCTGTTTTTGGCTATCTTGCCGATTTTCAAATTTACTGACTAGATTTACAAATCTGACAGTTTTTCAAATAGTTTTAAATTTGTAAATTTGAACTAACACTTTTTTTCAGCTCTTTTCGGCCATTTTGCTGGAAGTTGAGTTTAAATTGTGACCTTGTATGACGTTTCAGACATGAATTCCGAGAATTTCTGAAAGAGCTGTCCAACTATGAAGAATACGAAATAGCTGCCTACCCTGCGCCTGACAGTTCTAACTCCAAATCGTCACTAATAGCTGTAGAACTCTTCTACAAAACAACCAAAGCATCATCGCCAAAACTAGCAAGGTCTTCAGCTAAGCATGCTACTTTGTCTAAAGTTATGTGTTCAAGAGGTCTTGCAGTAGGGTTAGCAGAAACAATGGACCCTATCTTCAATTCGAGTTTCAAGTCCAAATTGCTGAAGTTTCACATTGCAACTGAACTTACTGACGCGGACAGGGCGACAATGTTTCAAGAAATTTTTTCAAAGTGGGGTGAATTTCCAGTCTTAGATGAAGTTGAAGACGAAAATGACAAATTGAAACTTGCCGAAGATTTAGTAATTGTTTTGACATCATATCAAAGCACAAAAGTTTTGCATGTGGCATTAGTAGTCTTTGTGATTGTGTCAAAGTTGGTTGTCATTTCTGAACAAATGATCTCCCGAGTTCTCGAAAAGTGCATGCATGATTTGAAAAATCCAACAGTCGAAATATTAGAAAAGTTCCACGAGTTATTGGCTTCGCTTGACAAAGAAATGGTTAATAATGTTTCTCAATCAGCGCTGAGAGCATTTTTAAAGCAATTTTTGCAGAATGGTTTGAAAATTGAAATTGTAAAAGTGCTTATAGCCTTTTTCGAAGGAATTGATTTTGCTCAAGTTTCTGAGACGGAAATTGAGAATTGTGTGTCGTGCTTTACGACATTAATGCGCAACCATTCGCTCAAAAATTTGCCTAATTTGGCCAAAGTGATTGATGGAATTTCAAAAGAAAGATTTGATTCGCTAGTTAAAAGTTTCAACTATTCGCCTAGTTTTCTGCAACTATACGTACAGAACTATTCGGAGACGCTTGATAAAGTTACAAAAGTGAGTATGATTAAAGTGATGACAAAGTTCATGGCAGTTCAAAGTTTAAAAATCGTTGTTGGAAATAGCAACGCGTTGTTGGAGTCGCTAGAGCAAGACTGTTCGAACTCGGGAAATATAGCGACCAAAATTCAGGCTAAAAAACTGCTGAATGCAATTATGACGTACAAAAAGGAACTTGTCAGTTCTTCGCTCGCAAACCACATTGGCGGAAGTGCAACTCAAGAAGAAACCGTTAAAGATCTGTCAGAATTGAATATTGACTTGACCTATTATCAGAAGCTTACACCGAAAGCAATTTGGTGGCAAAATGAAAATTCGGTCACTATTCGAGTAGAAATTTTTGGAATCCGAGCTAAACGAACGAAATATAAAAGCGATTCAGTCGTTTTTGAAGCATTGACTAATGATGATAAGTTGTACTGCCTAAATATGGATTTAGCTGAAGAAATCGTCCAAATGGATTCTGGGAGAGCGTTGGAAAAAGTTTCTGGGAGAAGTTTTCAAATCGAAATAACAAAGGTAACCATTTTTTATCATCAATGCATGAAATAAGTTATCGATACCTTGGAAAAATTTAAGAGTAGGTCGGTCGGCTGAAAATTGATGTCATACAATAGTATTAAAGGGGACCCTTGTGGTGATGAGATGGTCGAATCAGGTTCTGTATACATTAATGTGTTTGCTTTCTGTTTCTAGAAAAAGCCTAAAATGTGGGATCATCTTACCACGACTCGATTGTCCAATATCGTCTATGACATAGAGAAAATGGCTCAGTTTGAGGAAAACAACAACAACAGCCAAACAGTCAACTGGACGAAAAACCGAGGCGCGTATTGCTTCAAAAACTGTGTGCCAGATGTGGATCTGCCCCGGTCATCTGGCAGCGAGAGTGGAAAAGAATCAGATGATGATGGCTATGCCCAGGATTCGGACGGGTTGTTGTCGGGAGACGAGTGAAACTCTGGGAGGCGGATTGACTTGCCTTTGATATTCGTTGATAAGCTTGATTGAATTTCAAAAGGTGCTTTATTTTGACGTTGACTGTTGGTTTAAAAAAAACTGGGATTAAATGATGAAACGGCTTGTTTTTTATTTGTTTTGTCAGATCTCAATCAAATCTGATTGTTTCACAGGAATAAATTAATCAAATTTGATTGTTCTAGAGTATCTTCTATAATCTGGATATCTAAAATTATCAGATACAAATAATGAATTTTGAAATTTAAACTCGAAGTTAATGTTTTTGCGTTCCAGTAGTTTCCAAAGTTTTACAGCAGTGGCCATTTGCTGTGCAATTAGCATAGAATCTGCCAAACAAAAAACAAGGATAGCCGGTTATTGTGTAAGTAGTACAGAATGTTCTGACCATAGCCTTAAAAAAGTATATAAAGTGCGGTGCGATAAAAAGATCTGAACGAAAAATAGAACGTAGGCCTATTGGACTTTCATAGTTAAATAGGCCCATTGGCAAACATTTTTTGGCAGAAAAATGACTAGAAAAAAAAACCATAAAAAAGTTTAAAAGAATTTTGATCAGAAGAATTTTTTGAAGTTTTTGATTCTCAAAATGGCCTTAAAAAATTCCTCAAACTAACTTTACTCGAGTAAAACTAAATTTTCACGGCTTATATTCAGCATAAATAAGCTATTGTAAGCCTGGAAGCTCACTTTGCTGGCTCGAAATTAGAATAAAAATCAAAAATTTCAAACCGGTTTTTCTCGACACTGGGAATTGCTTACAATTTTTTGTTTTACAAATTCGATGTCCTTCGAATCACGGAGAGGGCTATGCTATGATATATCACTTGACCCATTCCAGTGGTTTCTTTGTGGTACCTGATTTTATGTGGAAAACAAAAAAGTTTTAAAAAAGTAAAACATACCCGAATACAAAGATCCTCCCCTATTTTCTAATGGTCGGAACAATAAAAGAAAAAGAAAGTGAACATCTTTTTGCAAAAATTGAAACCTGTTGTGCTGTTTATAGGGGCTCGGTAACCAGTACATCTTTCTGACGAGCTTCGTTTTAATGACTAAACGAAGTCTTTACAACATTATCTGTTGTCTATTTTTGACTCGGTTACATCCATTTAAATGCCCTCATCTACAGTGCTGATTTAAATTATCCAGACTAAACGAACAAAACTTGAATTTTCAAACGCGTTTTTCTCAAATTGGGTTAAGATTAGACAAAAAGTGAAGAGAACAAAAGTTGCTTAGAATTTCACCAGAATTAATATGATGCCATTTTTTCTCCGAAATTCTCAACCAAATTTTTACCCCAAAAATGGGTCATTATGGCTTTTTTCAATTAATCAAGAATTACGCTGAAACTACTTTGTTTATTGATAAAAATATTATATCATTAGAAGCCTCTTACGCAGCCCAACAAAGGGTTAATTCTCCAAAAATTTGCGCAAATTGTGTAAAATTTGTTTTTAAGCAAAGATTCTGGGTTTTATATAAATCACATTTATTGATTATCAAGTGAAAATTTTTTCTCTTATACTGGTTTTTGGAGATTTATCTTTTCTTAAACTTTGTTGGGCTGCGTAAGAGGCTTCTAATGATATAATATTTGTATCAATTAACAAAGTAGTTTCAGCGTAATTCTTGATTAATTGAAAAAAGCCAAAATGACCCATTTTTGGGCTAAAAATTTGGTTGAGAATTTCGGAGAAAAAATGGCATCATATTAATTCTGGTGAAATTCTAAGCAACTTTTATTCTCTTCACTTTTTGTCTAATCTTAACCCAATTTGAGAAAAACGCGTTTGAAAATTCAAGTTTTGTTCGTTTTGTCCGGATAATTTAAATCAAGCACTGTATCATATAGCAAAATTTGAGCCATGAATCTTAAATGGATACAGAAAGAAGAGGGCAAAAACAAGAAGAACATTGTTGTTCAGTTCAATGGTTACAAACTTTTGCAATCACCGTCACTGCAACAAGTTGTGAAAACCTTTCAAAATTATTGAAATATAATTATGCGATATTTCATTTTCGAATGTTTTATGCGAAGGTGATTTTTCATTTTCGAATTTTTTATGCGAAGGTGATTTTTCATTTTCGAATTTTTTATGCGAAGGTGATTTTTCATTTTCGAAATTTTTTATGCGAAGGAAATTTTTTATCGGGAACTGAGGAACACATTTACAAGAATGAATATACGCGTTTTCATTCAAATAAAAATTTTTCGGTCTGTTTCTAAAAATTGATGATTTTTCAGATTAGATGGAAGAGGAAGAGTTGACCAATGATGCCGAATTGGACGAAAATGAACATGAAGATGGTGACAACTCAGTAGCTTCAAGGCCATCAGATGAGGTAGATGGAGATTCGAGCAATGACGAAGGTGAAGAAGATGAGGACCTCTCGAGAGAAGCCGAAGGTGAAACAGATGAATTTTATGCATTCTCCCTCTCTTCTATGCTGCTTAGTATTTAATTACACAAAAGATTATGTGATAGTATGAACTCTCTTTTTTCCAACCAAAGGCGCAAATATTGTTGCGACAAAATGTGTTCAATAATCAGCTATTAAGTACAGCCAATGCTAAGGATATTAACACAGGCTATTACTTTACAAATAGCACTTTAGCTTCAAGGTATCATGGATCTCTAGCGTAGAGGTAGGGAAGGAGCCCCTCAACAAATTAAGTGGAGTTATCGGTCATATTTTTACTTGTGTATGCGAAGTGCAACTTCGCCTCTGTGTATAAATACCTATAAAGGGCTGATTAAGCATAAAGCATTCAAGAATTTGATTCCTAGTCTCAAAATTTCTCATTTTTGCAAGGGGGAGGCAAAAAAGATCTGGGGAAGTGTTTTCATCTTTGATTTACCCGCAAGGACCCCATTTGTGCGCACTTTGTCTTCTCTCGAACTATAGATTAGTCATTTGTGCAAAATCAAATAATTTACCTTGTTATCTGTCTGTACAGTCGAAATAGAGCAAAAAGTGAACGAGAAAAAGGCGCTGATCTTCGTTTTTGTTCATTCTAGTTTTTTTTAAATATCAGTTTTTGTTGGTGTAATGTTCGTTTTCTGAAAACAGCAATAGCAGGACTTTTGTTTAGATGACGGCGATAAAGTTAAATCTGGAAATTCCTTGGCTGTTAAAACTCCAGACCAAATTAAGGGAGAAATTCTTGACGAGTTCGACAGAGCAGAAAATGAAGAGAACGAGAAAACTTTCGTCAAAACGTTCGAGGACAGAAAAAGCGACGACCCTGGTCTCAGTAGGCAACAAAAAGTCGAGATGGAACCCAATTCTAGAGTAAAGGTCGAGCGTGAGGCAAATGCAGTTCATATTGAGTTCAGAACTAGATTTGACGGCGTGAAGGTCGAGTTTGTAACCAGAGATACACAAACGGGGGTTGATGTTATAGAGAACGAATTTCTCGAAAAAACGGATTTGGGTAACGATGATCTGAAAGACAACGAAGCAGGTTACTTTTTACTTGAATTTTGATCTAATTTGAGTTAATTTGAAGGTTAATTTGAAGTTTCAATTGCATATCAAAATAATCTGCATACCAGATCGACAATGGTACAAATCGACCGCACTATTAAACATCGAGTTTCTTTCGCTTAAATTCTGCTTGAATTGAAGCAGAAGGATTGTACTCGCGATTAGAAAGCGTTAGCAATTCTGCTTGTATTATATCACCGCAAAGGAGATCGCCTCCGGTACTACTATGCGACCGCCTCTTTGTAACCCACCATTAGTTTTATTGTTATTCTAAGGGCGCATTTTAACCATGCTTACAGTAGAGTTTTTGATCATAAACTAGACCCAAGCTACAGCCGATATTCATCCTATCCGTCTTTTCAAATAGCCGTTACGCTTAGATTTTCAAAATCTTTGTGTCAAATATGGGTTTGTCTTGCTTGTTCCAGGAGTAGTGGATGAGTCAGATGGCAAACCAGATACAAAAGCCGAAATGGAAGAGTCTCCAGATGCTCCCGAAAACCAAACTGTAAGTCGCAAAAATATACTTTGTGTCTGGTTTTATCATATCCGCAATTTTAGCAACCAACTCGCAAAGTTTTGTTTTCAATTTCTATCTTTACCCTTGCGATAAGCAACAGTGTTACAACCTGGTACAACTTTTTCCCGTTGACAATTTTGTTGAAAAGGTTTTGTAGATGTTTCAACTTGCTTCATAATAAATTCCTATTCAATCAACGACCCAACGCATCTGGCGTAAATCAACACAATAGCTTGAGACGACAAAGGCTTGAGGGTCAAATCGGGCCGGGGACTGTTTTTTCGAACAAGAAGTTTTCTGCTTTTTCTGACTATCGTACGTCTGTTTATCTGTCTGAGATCCCGTAGCACGGATTCTTCTCAAAGGTTCAGCTTTTTAAAACTTTCTGGAAGCTATTTCTAAAGTCTGTAGTTGTGGAGGTAATTGAGTTTCAAGATTTTTAAAGGAATTTTAGTTTTATTTTTTAAAAAGTTTTTAATAAAACTTATTTTGCAAAACTTGGTTTTGCTTTTTTCATTGATGTACACGGATTCATTGCCCATGTGATGATTGTGCTCGAAATAAGGAACCGTTATCAATTCGGAACACAGACCTGTTTTTTGTAAATAACTGGTCCAACGCAATCCCTAAATCTGAATCAAGTCCGAACTTTTGTCAACCAATAGACATAATATGAGCATGATTGCAGGTCAAATACCCTTTCTATTCAATATTTGCTTGAGATATTTGTTTTTATCTCATCAAATACGGTTGGGTATAAATGCGTTTCTTGTTTTTGTTCATCTTAGTTTTTTTTTGTTATCAGCTTAAACGTTTTTCGGTTTATACTTGATCATATTGCATCGCTGGATGAGCAAAACAAGTTTTCTATGTATATGGGTCTTTTGAGGTGGTAAATATTGTTTTTTGAAAGTTTCGAACTCAACGAGTGTGTGCTCAAAAATTGTGGGATTTAGTACCGCTTGGTTTCTATGCAAATTTATTTTTACCCTTGTAAAGGATCTTTCATGTGACATGCTCAGTTTCTTCAAATTCGATTGAAAGTACTATCACTTTGCTAGTAATTAGCTCAAGCCTGTTTCAGGTTGAAATTATCTTGAAAAATTCTCAATTTTGTTCGGGTTCCTGGTGTTGGTCCCAGTTTCTGTCGGTCCATTTTCCGTTTCTTGGTACGCCATTTTTTATCTGGTAGGGTCTTTTGGTTTTTTTAAAGCAATAGTTTTGTTCCAATTTAAACCGTTTTTACTATAACTGAAGAATCACATATATGTAAATTTACCATATCTGATTTTGAGTTTTTTAAATTATTTTTTGTCATTTTGTTTCAGTTTATGTTAAATAGACTTAATCACTTATTTTGCGTATTTTCCAGGGCAAAATATATCTGTTTGGGAATAAGTGTTTCAGTTTGGATTAATCGTAAAATCGTTTAAATTTATTGAAATTTTTTACGGCAACAGTTTTGGTTTCGGCTCAACAGGTTTCGACCCAAAGTTAATCGCCTTTGTTGCCGCTCGGTAAATCATTTGTTTTTAAGGGCTGTTTATGAACTACATCTGATACAAACATGAAGTTTTTGTAGTAGTATTTCTCCGACTTCTGTTAAGTTATTTTTTGAAGTAATTTTTTTGAGTTCTGTCTTTTTTTTTCATTCACGGTTTTGTTGTGCAATGTCTTTTTTAAGTCGCAAGTTTAATTTAATAATTTGTCATGTTTTTAGAGTTACTAACGTGGTGAATAATCTTATTTATTCTTGGTGATTTTTTTCGATTTTTTGAAAAAATGTCTGAAAATTAGTTCGCAGTCATTTTTGACTTTTTTCGCGGTTGGACTTTTGATTTTTTTTGTAAGTTCAGTTCATTTTCTTGCTAAAAGTGAGGCAACCTCCACTATCGAGCAACTAAAGTGTAAAGGTCACAAAAAGCGTGATCTACTTCTAATTTCGAAAGTGGAATTTAATTTACAGATTGTCCAGCGGAATATAAATAAATATCAAAAAATTGCTAATCGTCAATTGTTCTTAAAATTCAAAGAATTTAAAGGCTATATAATTTTTTCTCCGAAATTCGAATTTGAAGTTTTTTTGTCTATTTCCGACTACTGTTATCGTTCATGACTACTATATTGTTCATGACTCTTTTCCAACTGTCTTTTGGCTGTTTTTAAGTATATCTTTATTCGAGACAAATGCTTGAAAATATTGGTAGAATGAGCTTTTTTGGACATATTTAAAACTGATTTTCGACCTGGCGGTTTTCGTCCAAATTTCTGTCTGTAACTAATTTATCATGCTATGTTTGTGTTGCATCGCAGGTGGTGCGAAGCTCGGCTTCGCTTCTGTCTAAATTGTTTCTGTTATTTTTTTTTAAAAGTGACTCGGAATTCATATGTCAGGATTTTTCTAAAATGATGTAAACTTAAAATGACTTGCGACAACGAGTGAAATTGATATTTGAATTATTCAAGGCGTTACATGAAAACGCGTGAAAGAAATGTGGATTACTGATTATACACGGTCACTGACGAGGTTTTAGTTTGTACCTTCCTTATTTTTTCGAAAGAAGTTTTGAATGTGGGGTTTTTGTAGGCAATCGCAACAGGTGATCACAAAGCGCCACTTTTGAGGCAACAAACAGTCGCTTCAAGTACCACTGCCGAAGCTCAATTAGCCGATCAAGGAGACTACAAAGAGAAGGATGAAATGTACGACACGTTCGAGCAAGAATTCCCAGATGCAGAAGAAGGTATGCTCTTCATAATATACAATGAAGCAGTGGGGTAATTTGGGCACGAAATTTTGACCGGGTGCTTTTAAAGTTTTGTAGTTTTTTTTCAGGCCAGCTATTTCGATTTTTTTTCCAGCTCTGCGTAGACGTTTTTGTAATAAACCACTGTTTTTTACACTTTTTGGAAGGCTTTAATCTCGGAACACTACTAAGTTTAATCTAGTTTCAGATAAAATTGATCCTTCGACTAAACATTTGATTTGCGTCTTGAAGAATCAGCTTGAAGGCAGCTAGTACGTAAATCTAATGTTGATTTGCTCACATCTGTCGCTTTTGCCTCTATAGTGGCTTACGAATTGGACACATACAATAATTTAATGAAACACGAATTAAGATCACGAAAACAGAATTAATTATTCCCCACTGTTACAAGGGAGATGATGCGTCTCTAATTGTTCCGACCATTGAAAATGGAGAGATGATTTGTATTAGGGTCTGTTTTAGTTTTTTTTCACGCAATATCAGGTGCCCTAAATTAATCATCGGAATGTGTCTAGTGATATTCCAAATATAGCTCTTTCATTCGCAATTTGAACTTAAAAATTGTTTAAAAAGTTGTCCGATTGTCGAGAAAAATGTGTTTTAAAATGTGTTTTTTAATTAATTTTCGAGCAAGTAAACGATCTTTAGATTGAAATTTATTTTATCTAGACTTTGGGCTTAAACAAAACTTCATTTTACTATAAAACAAACTAATTTTGGATCATTAATTCAGTGCTTCCTGGGCTATAAATGGTTTCTAAAAAATATATGAACATTTATTCTGCAAAAAATTTTAGATTCTTCTTTCAATTTGTGCCATTGTTTTTTGAAGACAATATTGTCGATTATGTCTAATTCACTAAGTTTCTACTTGGATCACATTCGAATCACACTACGAATTCTTTCTCGAATCACACAGCGCAATTTGAAGATGAAAACTAAAAAAAAAAACCTTTTTTAAAAGTTTTTAAGAAAATGGTCGGAGCATTCTGTGCTACTTGCTCAGAAACCGGCTATCCTTGTTGATGTTTCCTATTGGTTAATGAATAGCTTTAGTTCTCGTGCGCGTGGGGGGGGGGGCTAAGTGGTTGAGATTTTTGCTACGTTGGTCATCCAGTGCGATGCCAACGTTAGGCTGTCCCACTCTTTAACCCCACGATATGTATCACCCTATGTTTACACCCGCTACTTTGTAACCCCGTAACAAGATAACCCCCGACAATTTAACCCCCTTTTAATACCGATAGTTTGTTTCAATTTAACTCCTTTTATCAAGTCCTTTTACACACATAGTAGTATTCCAATTAGATATACTAATTGAGGCCAGAGAAGCCATTCTTAATTCACTTCATGCATTTGTCGTTCAAAACTAATTGCTTTTTGATTAGCTTAAGAAATAATCCCTCATTTACGCGTTTAAAACAGAGATGACCTACATGGTGCTAATTGAAGGCAACAAAAGACGTTTGTGAGTTTATAAAAAATCATACTGCCTATTTCTTTAACCATTGTTATACCACTCTAACAGATAAAATATTTGACGCGTCTTTTCATTTTACGTTATCTTATTTAGCAGCGTGCATGTTAATTCATTTTGATTCGCAAAATTTTTCTCAATTAAAGCTTTGATGTTTACCGACGATATAGTTCCGAATCTCTTTCAACTAAGTTTCACTTTGATTCTAACAATTGATATTAAAAAGGTGTTAAATTGTAGTGGTGTTATCTAATTTCGGGGTTATATGAGAGGGGGTTAAGAAAAAGGGGGATAAAAAACACGGGGTGATAAGCTTTGGAACCCAACGTTAGGACTACATTTGCTTTGATTCTTTTCAAGGTGACGACGGAGATGAGTTCTTGTACGATGAAGAAGACGATGGCCAGACTACAATGGTCACGGATGACACTTCAGTGCCTCCTCTCAGAGATCTAGATTCGGCCATGGAGTCTGTCGAACAAGTTGGACCACCCAGGATACTCCGGGTCAGTTTTGTCGCAGGGTCTCTTACTTTTTGCTACTGATTTTTTTCCGATCATATAAGCGGGTACCACAAATGCGTATCAGAATCAGAGTGATATATCATTTTACAGCGCTATCGGTGGTGATTCGTTCGATATGCGAATATTTCCAGGAAAGTTTTCTCGACAAGAAAATCGGTTTGAAGTTGTTGCTTTTCATTTTAATAGGTAACGAGTAAATTGAACAGTTACGCTAAAAGCTCTGAGCTATAAAATACTTAGTTTTTAGCTAAGGAAAACTAATTTTCGAAGCTCAAGTTAGCTCTTCTCAATTACGAACAAAAAATCTTAGCAATGAATCCAAGAAATTTCAATCAAAATTAATTTAACTGCAAATTAAATTGCAAGTAATTTTTACTTAAGTTTGCAATTTTTTTCTTTAGAGCTCCTAGTAATGTTCTAGGAAATTTGGAGCTAATCCGCTCAAACCGCAGGAAAAATTTCTACTAGGAACGCGATACAAAAAATGTGTTTCAAATATAACTGGTCAGGGGCGGATTTAGGGGGGGGGCGGACGCCCCCCCCCCCCCCCCCTCAGGGGTTCGACCCCCTGCCGACCCAAAGGGTCCCCCCTTTGATACTTTTTCAGAAATCCATTTTTGGCCGACCGACCCTAAAATTTTTCTAAAGGCGCCTTGGGCGCCAATATATACTAACTTTGAGGGGGAGCGCGCGCCTATAAAACTCAATTTTTTTTGTCAAAATTTTTCAAAAAGTGCCCAAAAACAGCTTTTTTGACTGTTTTTTCAAAAATTTGCCTGCGGCGCACAAAATTTTGCCAAAGTAGGGGCAAAACAGTGCTTTGGGAGAGCTTGAAAAATCAATTTAGTCGACCCAAAAAAAAAGGTCGTCAAAATTTTTTGAAAATTCGCCCCCCCCCCCCCCCCCCCCCCCTCGAGAAAATCCTAGATCCGCCCCTGTAACTGGTACTTATCCGGCATTCTATTTTAAATTGCTGTTTGCTCATCTATGATTTTCTTCATCAGTAAGCTATTGATTCAAAAAGGATATAAATTCGGAAATTTCTGTTGTATTATTGGCCATTTTTCTTAAACTACCTTGTTTTGTCATGCGGATAATAAAAATGAATATTCAAATGAGGAAAACATCACTTCAGCATTCATAATTTTGCATTTTATAGATCAACCGTGAATCAAGGCAGAAACAGCTCAGCTACCCACCTGTTACTGAACGAGAGACAGAAGAGGGCGTGTTTGCTGGTAAATGCGACTTCTGTGGGCGAGAAATCAAACCATACCCGGATGCAGAGGCCCAGCTATACAAGCACTCGAGGTAGATGAGAATGCTTTTATATAAGTTTCTCAAAGTTAATGCTCTTATATTTTTATTATTTTTGAATAGTTCTATCATATGTGATCATGAAAGATTAGTTGAGAAAAACAAAAGTTCAAATAACAGAAAGCAGTTTGTTTTGGCTCGTAGGGAAATTTTCTGCTGTGACGACTACCAACTGTTCATGCAGTTCGCTCTGAGTAAGCCATTTGGCAAGAAGTACGACGTGGATGTGCAGAAATTCGTCACTGCTTACATGGACATACAGCCTCATGCGCCCTACAATAGACAGGCTAGGAAAGTGGCGAAAGAGAGGGCCGCTTTGAGGTAAGTTGGTGTGGGTCTAATACAAATCATCTGAAATTGTAACCGATCTAAAGTTGTAATCATAATTGTAGCCAATGGAGTTATGTTATTGCTTTTAGCTATCGCCGCTCTGATGAAATCGCTTTTATATTTTCGCTGATCTCTTTTACCGGTTTTTGCTTTTCATTACACAAGCTAAGCGTAGTGTATTTGAAGGAAAATTTTTTAAACAAGTCGCAAATAAAAGTGCTGATTTGGTGGTTTTTTTTGTATTTTTCGGTTCAATCAAATTTAAGCTTATTTAAGCATTAGCAATATAAAGGCTTATATTGCTGCTTCATTTTTGGCTGGAGTTAGGTCAACGAAAAAAAACATAAATTATGAAAATCTATGTTGTTTTTCGTTTGGTTTTTGCGACGTTTTGGAAATTTTTTGCACTTTTCGCAGAATATTCAAGTTTTCTCAAAAACATCCTGCTAAATCGGAAGTTAAGGGTATAACCGAAAGACAAAGTCTATTATGCCAATCTTATCTGCGCAACTGGTTATGACCTGCGGTTTTGAAAAAAAAACATGGCCTCAGAAAATGTCCAATTTTTGAAATTTTGCCCGTTTTTGGAAAATTATTCCTTTTTTTTCACAAAATAACGTGCTTATTCCGAGGTTGATAGCTCATTAAAACTAACATGGTGCATAAATTTTCCCTGTGTTATATGCTTTACCCCCTTTTTTGTAGAAAAGCTGATATGGACTTGGGAATATTTCCTTTTTAAATTCTTACGTTTTTTGTTTAGAAATTTCGTCGCTTCTCTCGAAAACTACCATCTAAACCTGATATTAAGGGTTGAATCTAAAAAATAATGGTGCGGACATCTTTAATCTAAAAATCAGGTTTTGGAAAGCAGAGACTATTCCCATGTTTTAGTAGAGAAAAGTTTATGGATTTAGGAAAAGTCAAGTTTTTGAATTTTTGATCGAGTTTTGGATTTTTTTGTCACTTTTCGAAAACTACTCAGCCAAATCTGGGATAGGAACTTCAATTGAAAGAGAACGTTGTACTTTTCTCCTGTAAATAAACGGTTAATCCCCAACTTAAGCAGATAATTGTTAGGGTTCAGCGTAAATTTTGAAAAATAAGCATTTCCATATCAGTACAAAATGATTGAAAATATTAGAACAGGTAGATCCAGCATTAGCTGGGCCCCACTAGTTTACTTTCAAGCGACCGTGGCTCAGATGCAGGTCGCATTTCAAATCAACAGGTCGGATTTTCAAATCCGGAATCTTAAAGTAGTTTCTTTTTTAGTTGGTTTTTTGTTATTTTTTGAGATGATTTAAGATGATTTTTCACTCAATATATCTGGCGATTTTTTGTGAAATGCATAAGTTAGTCGTAAACTTCGTTACCTTTTCGAAAGTCGACACAATAATGCTGAAATAATAATTCAATTAGATTGGGGTGATGAATCAGTATACATACGGAAATTAATGTGAAAGTTAAAAATCCTTGCTTTTTGGGAGTTCAAATTTTAACTCAAAGGGTAGGCTATGATATGATTCCAAACGGGATTGCCTACGACTTTTTTTGATGTACTCGCGCGGGATATCAACCAAAGCCCCAGTTTTTTGTAACGCTTTTAATGAAATGGAAGTTAGCATTGTAAAGATTCGTGGAAAATGTCAAGGTTCTGAATTTAAAAAAAGTTTCCTCTGTGTTCAGAAAATCTTCCAGACGCAATGTCAAGGACAAAATTATAATTTTTCTGTCTAAGAACGCGTTTTTTGGCCAAATTAGCTGGCTTCTGTTTCATTTAGAATGCTTTTGTGAGTCAGATTGCCTTTGTGAGTCAGATTGCTTTTGTGAGTCTTTTGTGGCTCAATTTTTTGGTCAGATTATTTGTCAGGTAATTTATTTCTGATGCTTTCAATTTCTTTTTGGCGCTATCCTTAAATATAAACTACTTCTAAATCTTTAATTAGTTATGCTCTAGGTTAGACTGAAAAGTGGACAATTTTGCCGTTGTCTTTCATCTCCTGTCTGTTATCTCATTTTATATTACTAGTAAGAGCCGGTTTTGTATTCGAATTAGACTCAAAATCTACAGGATGTCATTTTTTTTCTCGAACTCATTCTATCCTCCCCTCCTTTTTTAGGATGCGTGAGCGGGAAGTGGCGAGACAAAAGAAGGCTGTGAGTCAGTTCCAGCAACAAAACAACCAGCAGACGACCAATCAGAACAACGCAGCTGGGGCTAAGGATCAACAGCACACTTACCAACAAGCAGGTATTCAGTGCTGATTTAAATTATTTGGACACAACTCATTAAAATATAAATTTGAAACTCGTTTTTCTCAAAGTGGGTTGAATTTGGGTAAAATTGATGAAGACAAGATTTCCTCAAAACTTCACTATAAATAATATGGTGCAATTTGTTTTGCAATACTCCAAATATTTATAAAATTGATCGTTATTAGCTTTTTTGTCAATCAAAAGTTAAACCAAAACTAATTGGTCGATCACTGACATGATTATATCAAAGTATGGCTCTCACTTTGCCCAACAAATTTTAAGGGTGTAAAAAATTACCTAATGATCCAGTGTTCACAAATTGAGTTATTTTTATCAATGAAGTGGCAGTCTTAAATTGTCTTGTTCTTGAAATTCGGAGAACTTTAAAAGCATACCATTTTAGCGGAGTGTAAGTACTTCTGAAAATTTTGCTGAGAATGAAATTTTTGCTAACTCGGCTGATTTTCTTTCTTTCCGCATGAAGGCTTTCTTGCAAACTGATTATCTTAACAACCCTGAAATTGTATTGCGGTTCTTTTTTTCAGTTATTTAATATTGTTAACTATCATTGCTTACATTTTCTGCTATTCTATAACGATTACTATTTAATCTTTGAATTATTTCACTGAAAATATGGTACTGGAGTTAAATGGAAGTCGACTGTTTTTTTTTTTAGCCCAGCGTGCCCTGAAAGTGATCAATTTCTCTCTGGGGTCTAAAAAGTGTGCCGAACAGGGTTTCATAGTGGACCCCTCCCCCTCCCATGACCCCCACTCTATTCTGAGTAGAATGGGTCCAGGGGGTGTGACTGTGGAGGCGCTAGATGAGGGATTGAGGGGAGCCAAGGATACGGCCAGAATTCAGGTTGGACTTACTTTGAAAGGCGACTAGATTTATGCGAAGCGAATAGGAAGAATCTATCTTCTTTTTCTGCCTAAAAGAATTATTAGAGTGTGATATTAAGGTTTACTTGCCAACAAAAGTGATACTCTCACAGGCAAGCTTGCGTGCGTGGTGTTATTCATTGTTGGGTCTAGGAATCTGGACAAGGAACAAAATGTTCCTTAGAAATCATTACTTACTCTACGAGCAAGCAAAAAGATCTAAGAACCAATAATACAGTTTGGCATCGTTAAGCATGGCGACGAAAGTTTTTGTTTCAGAAGAAGGGCCTAGTCCAAAAGTTTTATTTGGACGACAAAAAACTGTTCTACGTTTTATTCAAAGACGGATCAGGTACAGTTTTCTACCCCTCAGGACGACCCTGTATTTTAATCCTGTCAACTCCCAAAGTCAAACCACCAGATCCATTTGCGAATGTAAAAACAGCGGGAAAGAAATCAAAAGCGAATTCTAGAAGTACAGCTACAAATAATCGAGCGGTTACTGATGACAATAAGAGTCAGAAAAGTGGAGTAACTGCGACTACGAATTTGTCAACGAAAGCACGCGGGGCTGCAGCGACGGATCCAGGATACATTGGAGGTATGTGGTTGTTTTAGTCGGGGACTATTCTTATGTTCGAAGGACCGAATGCGCAAAAATTCTCAACTAATCAACGCCCTTTAAACTGTCCAGAATAGATAGAATTTATTGCTTATTTCTTCTGAATTTTTGAAAACTGAGCTATGATTGGTTAACAAAATGTTCGCGCACTCGGTCCTTAGCGGATGAGGGATTCCCCCGTTTTAATAGACGTGAAAGCCCTTGACTCTTCAGAAGAAGCCTTTTTCTCTCTGGGTTCACCGTCGTCTTTGTGAGACTCAGATACTTATCCCGGGTGCGTCTCTTCCTCTATATCAACACTACGCGCATAGATCAGGTCAAACAAGATCAGGTCATCACTATCCATTGCAAACTCTAGTAGCGCGCGCCGAGAAAACGCAATTTTTTGGTCAAATTTTTCCCAAATTGCTTAACAATGCTTTTTTGGAGTTTTTTTTTCAAAATTTTGCCTGCGGCGCAGAAAATTTTGCCAAAACAGGGACTAAACCGGCTTAGGAGCGCTCGAAAATTCAATTCGGTCGACCTAGAAAAAAGGTCGACAAAATTTTTGAAAATACCGACAGCCCTCTTGCGACTGTTTGTTTATTAGGAGTGGGTTCAGACACCAGTCGCACGGCTAGAACGGATGGCAGAGGGGGAGGAGGGAGCGAGGATGATGACGATGAAGTGGGGGTGAGAAAGCGACAGTTTCTAGTCTTCACTGATGAACAGAGGAGCAAGCTGTTGGCTGTGTTCATGCCAGACGGAAATGCAGCATGCTATTATGACAACAAACAGTTGAGGTTAGCTGACGAACAGATATAATTTTGTCATTGCTAGTCTCTTTAGTTTAAATAGTTTAAAATTAAATAGTTTTCTTGTTAAACAAAAACAAAGGGTAGATTGATAAAGTAAAGGAGCAATAGATTCTTGGAATCTTCTCAAAGTAACCAAATCTTTGAAAAACTTAAGTTAGCCCGAAACGGCATATAGAAGAGCTTTGGCGTGGTTGTATTCGTGATTAGAGATAAATTAGATTCGGCGAAGGTCCCCGTAGCACCATCTTTTTTTCTCTTTTAAAACTTGTAAACAAAATTAGATGACTGAGTTGCCAATTTAAGACTTATTTGGTCTTCGTTTGTAACCCTGTCAAAACCATTTGTTGAACGATAAAGTGAATTAAGGCTTGTTGGGGAAAATAGAAAAGCATCTCAGAAATACAGAATATTTCAGAAATTCAGAATTTTTTAGAAATTCAGAATATTTCAGAAATTCAGAATACTTAAGAAATTTAGAATATTTCAGAAATTCATAAAATTTTAGAAATTCAGAATGTTTCAGAAATTCAGAATATTTCAGAAATTCGGAATATTTCAGAACTTCAGAAAATTTGAGACATTCAGAATATTTCAGAACTTCAGAAAATTTGAGACATTTAGAGTATTTCAGAAATTCAGAATATTTGAGAAATTCAAAATATTTAAGAAATTCAGAATATTTCAGAAATTCAGAATATTTCAGAACTTCAGAAAATTTGAGACATTCAGAATATTTCAAAATTCAGAATAATTCGGAATATTTCAGAAATTCAGAATATTTCAGAAGTTCAGAATATTGCCACGTGTGATAACATTGTTTGAAACATGGTTTTTCAGATTGCACCTAGACCCTTTCGGAGGTATTTTGTTCGGCGAGAATCTGTCTAAGAAGCGAAAGTGGAGCTGGCTGGATTTCGCAGAGAACCACCAGCACGCGCCTCCCCTCCAGCCATTGGCCATAGCATTGTCCAATCAGGTGTCGCTGAGGATAGCCAATCAGAATGCAATCACACTTGCGTACAGATCAGGACCACACAGTGTCAAGTTCAATGTCGGAGTCAAACTGAAGGTAAGTTTTTTAATACTTTGCAGTCCAAAAGAGTTCCTAGTGTTTTGTTATTTATTTATAAATTAAAGGTTGGTTTGAATTTGAAAATTGGTTGTCCGTTTTTACGGTTTCTTCCTTTTTATGACATGTTTGCGAAATGAGAAAAATTGAGGACTCAAAGCTAATAAGTTTAAGATGTATTCAAAATCAAAGGGTTTCAATGGCCTTTGAAATATGCTTCTGCCAATAAGATGTGTGAGTATGTTCCAGATTACTGCCGGAAAAGCTGCCCTGCCCAAATTGTTTGAAAGAACAGAAGACGTGGTCTATCTGAGTGAAATGCAGACATATACCCAGTAAGTTGCTTAGTGCTTAGTAACTCCCTGAAACGTATGAAATTTATTTTAATACATGATTCTTCGGGGAGGGTTCTCATGCTTGAAGGACCGAATGCTTGAAAAGTTTCAACCAATCAAAATCGCTAAGCGTTCTATTGGCTAAATGCCTTTCTCACAAAATCGACGTCAATATTAACAGAAAACGTTTTAAATCAGTGGAAAATGATCAAAAATATAACAAATTGAGGGTTACAACCGCAATACTATTCAGATAAACATCAAGATTTATGAGCTCAAGTTCGTAAGAATTTTTCAGTCCTGAAAACTCATCGGCTTTTTTATCTAATCGGTCAGTATTAACACTAATGGCCTGCATTTATTTTCTTAGTTGGTGATTTTCACGATTTACTTTGAGGTTTGAATACTCAATTCTGATTGGCTGTGTTATACCCTCAACCGTTGGGTGAGGTATACACTGTGTAATCTATGTAGTCAAAGTCAATGCTTGATCGCTAACTGAGAATAGAATACGAAGAGATAGAGAACAACTTAAATTCAGTTACGAGAGTTAAGTCTGATTCGAATCTGACCTCGAAATCATGAGAGAGACAGAGACTCATAAATAACTATTGAATATGGTGTTAGGTTTAATAGGTACTTAATTTAGATCAGACTTCTATATAGTTCAGTTTACATAAGTATATATGGTTAGCACTCAAGATGGATATACTGTCTTAGGTAGACATAGTTCTAATATATCCGAATGGATATCAGTTCATATCGGTACCTACTGTATCCGTATGGATAACATTCCCCTTTTTCTTATATGAAGAATACATCTCATATATTCTTTATATCGTCCGCAGCGTCTTTTTGTGATTTGGGGTCGTCTTCATTCAAAGGTACTTGAGAGATCTGTTGAGAGTTTCGTTCCGATGATGTCTGGGGAGTGCCTGGCTTGTTATAGTTGTCCTGTTTACTTGGGCGTTTAGATCGTTCTTGTATCTCGTATTCCCGTTGAAAGGTCATTGAATTTTTGGGCGGAGAGATGGACTGCAGAATTTTCATTGCATCATTGAAGTTTTCGATGAAGGATTTGTCCGGTGAGCATGTCGTTTCGTTAGGTCTGTCAATGACGTAACGTGAGCTTATCGGTCGTTGTTGTGGGTCATTTAGGCCAATTGACGTAGATGACGTATCTAATTCTGCTCTTGGACTACTCCGTGGGGACGGCGTATGTGTGGATAACTGGGTCGGTGTTTTCACTGTATTGGTAGGCTCGTACTCCGCTTCGAGTGGGTCGCCTGTTCCCTCGCCGGATGCTGTAACTCTCAGCTGCTCGGGTGTTTTCTCAGAGGATTGGCTTGATGCTTTGTCCCTTGAATCAATTTCTATGCACTCTATATCAGTTGAGGATTCGTGAACAGTGACAATTTGGCCAGTTGGTTCTCTTTTATCCTGTTGCACCGTTATGAGACATAACTCAGTGTCGGAATTACTTCCGGCAATTTTGTTGATCGGGATTGCATTTCCGAATTTTAGGGCCAGGGCGCTTGTTTTAGTTCTTGTGGATCGACGGCATGGAACTGTATCCTTAGATTTGGTACTCTCATTTGTGTCTTGGGGTGGCGTATTTTTTCGATCTAGTTTTTTGGCTGGTGGCATGTGTGATGCTGGTCTCAAGTCTTGAATGATTGAGTCGTCGGATGAGATGGAGATTGATGTATCGCAGTCAAATTCGACGGTCTTGTTTTCCTCCTTGCGCGTTTTATTTGGACTACCTTGTCCTTTTCGGCTCGGTGATTTTAAGTTGCTAGTTATCGCTGTCTGGATTTTCCTCGTGGTGGCTTTTGAGGTTGTGGGGTTCGTTCTGTGAATCCGATCATGTCCTAATTTCCTTCTGTTGGTCGTCTGTCGAATAAGTTCTTCGACATTTTTGGGCGGTTTTCGTTTTGGGCTTGTTGGCGTTGAGGTGTTACCCGCCGGGTTTCCTTGTTGGATTTTCTTCTTCGGGTTTTTCGAGCCAGTTGGTTCACTCTGTTTGGGTTCTGTGTCTAAAATACGGGATTTTGCTCTTGGTAAGTGCTTATACGCTACGAAATCCTTTAATTGTGCCGGTCGACACTTTCCATACACCCGTGGATCAGGTACAAAAGCTAGACCGTCGTGTCTTATGACCCTTGGTTGCTTTCCGTCTTCCCGAACCCATGCAGTGTGTGGGGAATAATTAATTATTGACCCGTTTTCGATGATTTTGAATTGTGGCCCAAACACCCCAGGATTTTTTGTTTTGCGTGCTATTGTGCCCGATTTTCGCGCTACCTGTTCAATGCGTTTTCCTAACACCGGATCTATGGTGTTTTGGGGTCCTTTAAACCGATCTTTTAGGAACACCAAGGGAGCTCTTTCGATTCTTTGTTTCTCTTGTTGTGTAAGCCACCGAATTGGTTTTCGTGTTCTAATATTTGCTATGTCATTTTTGGGGTTTTCGGCGAGAAACGACCGTTTAACCTTTTGTAAATCATAGGGTATATTATTAAGTGGAAGGTGCGCACCTATTGGAAATTTACGTAGCAGGGCCTGGTCGAACAGTTCATCGTTGTCTGTGTCCGACAGTAAGGGTTGTGTCCGTTGCGTTTGTTTCGTTTTCTCTTTCGTTGTCTCAGGGATGGCCCGTTTAGGGATTGTGTGTCCTGGGGTACTGGTTCCTACCACCTGTGACGATGGTCCTGCTGGTTCGTAAGAGGGTTCAGGAAGATATGTCTGTTTGTACACAACACTGAGCTCATCCTCGCTATTGAGATCCCTATTCCAGATGGCCTCAGGCGTGAGGGCGGATTTTGTAAGCATCTTCTCATCTAGGCACGAAAGTTTTGTATTTTCCCATGATAGATTAGAAATTTTAGGTGTAGTGCAAATATTAGTTAGTGGTGTGTTTGGTTTACGCCCATAGTGCGCCTCAAACGGTGTAATTTTTGTTGTGGCGTGTGGGGTAATGCGCAGTGTTTTGATTAATTCCGCCACGTCTGACGCTAGTTTGTATGGTGTGTTATTCTTATCTATCTTCATTATAGAGAGACGAGTTTTCAGAGCTCTAATTAGTCTTTCCACCATGCCCATGGAGCGATGATCATCCACTGGGGCAAATATTAATTTAATGTTATTGCTTTTGCAGTAGATCATAAATTTCTTAGCCCGAAACCCTTGAGCTTGGTCGCACCGGATATTTCTTGGTACCCCTTGGTTGACCAAATGTGTTTGCATAAATCTTATGATTGTGTCTGCTTTGTTATTTGCTACTACTTTTGCGTATGGGAATCGCGAGAACCTATCTACCCCGACCAGAATGTACACGTCTTTATCGTTCTCATCCGGTAGCGGTCCAGCAAAATCCAGCTGGATTTCCTCGTTCGGTTCTACTACGGCGTCGAGACTAGTATAGTGTTTTTTCCCGGAGATCACCCGAAGGTTCTTACCTTTGGTGCGGCACTCCTTGCAATTCTGTGCTGCCGTCACTATGTCCCGGTGGAGGTATGGATACCAAATATGTTTGGCAGCTTCTAACATACTGCCTTGTCCTGGGTGGGTTAAGTGAATTGAGTCCAATACAATCTGTCTGAGTTGTTTCGGGATCACTACTCTGTCGTCATAGAGTAGCACATTGTCTCGGACTGACAAACGGTCGCGCACGTTATAAAAATAAGGGCCGTAACAGGCCTTTATTTGTTCCCACTTTTGGTTTCTGATCATGTTGATCAGAGGCTGGAGGTTTCTGTCGCGTTTTGTGGCGGCCGCAATGAAATCCACGTCCAGTGCCTTTCTGAGATTCTTTCGGAAGAGGGGCACATCTTCGTCCTCCATTGAGATTGCTTGACACTCCGTTTGTTCCTCTGGGTCCGTTTGGCATAGCTGATCTGATTTCCTGACGAATGTGAAGCTATCTTGTGAGGGAATTACTTGATGACGAACATCGCTAAAGGACAGTGTGGATTGGCCTGGTTCTACGGGCATTTCAGCGAATGACGTATGTTTAGCAGGTGGAAACGATAAAGTAGTCTGTTGGCCGCTGTGGCATTTCCTCATGATTCTTTTGAAAGGGGGTAATGACATTCCTGTCTGCAATTGGCGGCTCATGTTGTTAGCGGCTGGGTTAATATATGTTGAATTAAAACACACTTGTTGTTGTTGATGACTACTTGCTATTTCTTCTTTACGTAATTGATTTGTTGAAGGCTGGTGGCAAATGTTTGAATTATCCGGACTATAGTTTGAAATGTTTCGATTTGATTGAGAGAAATTTGAAAATTTTGATCGTGACGGAGAGTGACTGTTTGAGAGAGAATGATCATTAACAGTGAAATGTGTTTCTTTTGTGTGCGAAAGCGAACGATTAAAGTTTTCGTTCCAGTCGAGCTGTAATGTGCTTAGAAATCCGTATGGATTTTCAATCATTTCGATATTAGCTATAGTGCTGTCTTGAAATTCCAGGCAAGAAATGAAATCGTCTATTAGTGCGACAACAAAATGTTCATCCCAATATGCGGGAGGTTGTGGTTTTCCTACCGGATGGCGCGAAATATAGTCTATTAAGCCCATTTTACTGCCGGAAAGGTGTTTGATGTCAAAATCGAATGGAATAAGACGGTCAATCCATCTGGTTAGGCGACTTTGATAAGTTTTATTACTTTTATTGCTATTTAGGGCACTAACCAAAGCTTGATGATCAGTAATTAGTGTAAAGCGGCGACCATACAGATAATATTTAAAATGATCAATAGCCCATACCGCAGCTAGGAGTTCCAATTCATTTACTGAATATTTATTTTCACATGCATTTAGGAATCTGGACGCGTACGCCACCGTGCCCCATCCGTCTGGAGTTTCCTGTTCGAGAGCAGCTCCTATACCCTCGCGGCTGGCGTCACAGACTATCCGTGTTTCTCGGTTGCTCACAAAGTGACGATTTTCTGTGATGTTTCGCACCGCTGTCAGGATTGTCTGAAATGCCTTTTAATGTTCTTGGTTCCAAACATAGTGAAATTTAGAAGATGATAAGAGCGGCCTTAATGGTGTGCACAATTGTGCCAGGTTGGGTATGAATTTATTTAGATGATGAATCGAACCCATAAAACTTTTTAGTTGTTTGAAGGTTTTAGGGTGTTGTAGATTAGTGATCGCTTCGGTTTTCTTGTGCATTGGTATTGTCCCGTATTCATTTATTATGAATCCCAGCCATTCGACCTCTTTACAGCCGAATTTGCATTTGTTTAAAGAAATCGCCATATTTTCCTGATCCAGTTTATCTAATACTTTTTTCAGTTTTTCCATGTGTTGTTCTTTTGTTCCGTGAGATATAATTAATATATCATCTAGAAACGCGAAAGTATCTTTTTCGTTGTTTAACGTTAGGTCAATGGCTTTCTGGAATTCTGCGGGCATGTCCGTGAGCCCGTAAAATCCTGTTTGGAACTGATAGGTTCCCGTCGCTTGTCCACCGATTATGCTAAAGTTACACTGCGTTTTAGTTTTTTCATCTAATTTTAATTGGCTATATGCATATCGGAGATCGATGGTAGAAAAATATGTTGTGCCTGGTTTGCCATTTCCCTCCTGAGCTGATTGTGCCACATTGTCGAGCAGAACGTCGATGTTAGGCATCTGATACTTATTTTTATGTATCGCTTTGTTGATTTGTTTTGAGTCCATGGCTAACTTGATTGACTGATCTTTCTTTACCGTAATAACGATTGGACTAATAAATTGTTTGTCGCTACAACTGTCGAGCTTCACGATATGGCCTTGGTCAATTAAAGATTTAAGTTCTTGTTCAACTTTTTCCTGAATATGAATCGGGATTCGGCGGCCCTTTTGTTGAAGTGCCTTGAAGTCATGTAAAAATTTCGTATGAACTTCATGGTTTTTAGATCGGCCGATACGAGTGCACAACGCTGGGTATGTTGTTTTAACCCAGTTTGTGATGGCGGTGTCTGATTGTTCTGGATCTGTAATGTAATTGATTGACTTACCAGTTGGTTTTTCCTGTTGAAGGTGAATGCCTAGTTGCGGGAGCAAATTGCGACCCAGGATGTTTGCTCGTTTATCATCAACCACCACGAATGGTGCTGTGTTGATTGTCCACCCTCCTGATTCTATAGGGGCAATCAGCCTGCCGAACGCAGGGATTTTGTAACCGTTGTAGCAGACCATTCTATTTGCCTCGTCATTTTGGTTGAGCTGAATCCGTCGAGTTCGTGGCACCGTATTTTCTAATATGACCGCTGTTTTGTTATTTACAAACGATGTTGGGGATCCTGTGTCTGCAATGAAGGTAATGCTGTTCGTCCCAATTTTAACTCGAATAAGGTGTCCTATTAAGTCGTTTGTTGTTAAGTTTCCTGCCGTTTCTTCTTCATAGTGTACCGCATTTACGCTGTTGTCATCTGGATTTATGAATTCCCATCCCGGGACGACATCCCCTGCCTGGAGATAGTCGACATACGCTGCTATGTCGGTGTCCTGGACATTCGCTTCGAGATTTGCTTCTTCGCTGATAGCATTGACATTGGAAGAGTTGCAGAGTCGTGCGTAGTGTCCTCTTTTTGTGCACTTATTGCAAATCTTGTCTTTTGCTGGACATTGTTGGAGGTGACCGGGTCCGAACGGATTACCGCACTTAAAACAAGATTGCTTTCTGTCTCTGTTTTGTCGTTGCGAGCTTCCCCGCTGTGTTTGTCCTCGACCGCTATTGTTTCCTCTTCTGTTATTACGGTACGGGTCCCCTCCTCTTCTTTGAATGAACCCAACTGGTTCTGTTTTTATACCCGTTTGTTGAAAAGGATTAGTCGTGGAACCCTGCTTGCGGATTTGGATTTGATTTTCCAACCCTTTTTCTCTGCGTATGGCGTATTCAAACGCTTGCTCTGGGGATTTGGTCTCGGCAAGTAGATCTTTTTGTACTTCATCATTTGTCATATTCGCTGTGAATAAATCTCGAATAATCTCTGTTTCTAATGTGTTATTGTTGCAATTGGGACATTTGAAGTTTCCTTTTATGACCAATTCAGTGAGCCCGCAGTGGAACTGTTCCAGCGTTTCTGTTTTATTCTGCTTTCTTGTGAAGGCCTCGTATCTATCAAATGTAACATTACGGTCTTTAATGAAAAGGTGTTCCAATCGATTCCAGAATGCTCTTGTTGATATTTCTTGTATCTTTATGTCGGGATAGTGTTGGTTTAGGCGTCTTTGACCTTCGTTACCAAGACTTAGGTAAATGTAGCTTCTGACTTTTATGTCGGCTTCCTCCCATGGTATTCCATCCACGGTGGGTCCCAAGTTGTCCAGTTGTGCACATTGGTTGTCCCATTGTATCTTTTTTTCTTGGTTACGAATGTTCCTGTCCCTGGTTTGTGCTTGAGTTTACCCTTCTATCGGGAGTTCATAACCGGGTTCTTGCGGTTTTCTCACTGCAGGTGGATCTCGTAATAACTTTTGCAGGTTTATGCCATCTTTTGCGACAATTCCTAAGTAGAGTTGCTGGTTCCACTTCTCCCACTCTGTTGGCGGTTCCGCCGAGGCTTTTTGCCAGAATGGGGCAATGCCGAGTGGGTTTTTTGTTGTAAGTGCTGGCTGCGCCATGTTATACCCTCAACCGTTGGGTGAGGTATACACTGTGTAATCTATGTAGTCAAAGTCAATGCTTGATCGCTAACTGAGAATAGAATACGAAGAGATAGAGAACAACTTAAATTCAGTTACGAGAGTTAAGTCTGATTCGAATCTGACCTCGAAATCATGAGAGAGACAGAGACTCATAAATAACTATTGAATATGGTGTTAGGTTTAATAGGTACTTAATTTAGATCAGACTTCTATATAGTTCAGTTTACATAAGTATATATGGTTAGCACTCAAGATGGATATACTGTCTTAGGTAGACATAGTTCTAATATATCCGAATGGATATCAGTTCATATCGGTACCTACTGTATCCGTATGGATAACAGGCTGAAAGAAAGCTAAAATAAATTTCAAGCATTCGGTCCTTCAAGCATGAGGGACGCCACCGATTCTTCGTTATCTACGGTGTTGACAAAAGGTCGCCGCTGGGTGATAAATAGTTCATTACGTAATAGAATGACCATGACGTCAACGTTTTGGTTATTGTGACAACTTACAGAGGGGGAGGGTTCTCATGCTTGAAGGACCGAATGCTTGAAAAATTTCAACCAATCAAAATCGCTAAGCGTTTCTATTGGCTAAATGCCTTTCTCACAATATCGAAGTCAATATTAACAGAAAATGTATTAAATCAGTGGAAAATAATCAAAAATGTTGCAAGTTGCGAGTTACAACCGCATTACTATTCAGATAATCATCAAGATTAATGAGTGCAAAATCATAAGCGTTTTTCAGTCTTGAAACTCATCTGCTTATTATCTAATCGGTCAATATTAACACTAATGGCCAGGATTTATTTTCTTACTTTGAGATTTTCGCGATTTATTTTTAGATTTCGAATACTCAACTCTGATTGGCTGAAAGTAAGCTAAAATTAATTTCAAGCATTCGGTCCTTCAAGCATGAGGGACGCCACCTTACAGAGCAGGAAGGTTTATGTAGCAGTATTTAGACAACCACGTATTCAGACTCGTCAGCAAGTAGACAAATACTGTAACCAATCAGAATTGAGACAAGGAAGAAATGAATAATTAATAATTATGTATTTCGTAAATTTGCTTTCTCATCTAGATTCTGATTGGTTAATATGGCATTTGTCTGCTGACTGACGAGTATAAATACGCTGTTGTCTAAAGGCACTCTAGCTTTGGGGTTGTTTTTACTTGCGGAGCAAAAGCCCTAAAAAGGAGTGTTCATATGTATTATCCAATCCATCCAACTCATTAATACTTTTGCAGGACAATCATCAACAGAATTAGCAACCTGCTCAAGTACAAGAACGAAGACTTAGCCGAAAGACTTCCACCACCTCCCTATTTACTGCACCAGATGGAGAAAAAGGGGATGAACCCCAATCTATCCAAGCTAACAGGGCGACACAAGAAGCAAAACTCTTCAGTGGATCATAGAAGTAATAAGACTCCATCGCCTGAAAAAGTGCAGCAGTTGGGAGGTAGTCAAGATGAAAGTATGACTACCAAGTCAGTCGCTGTCGCCTAGAACAAGTAACAAAAATGACTGAACAAAGCTCTATTTTCAGACAAAATAAAGGAACTTACTCTCGCAGCATAGCATTATTAAAATTCTGCTTTTTACTCACAAGAGCTATAATTGAACCAAATATTTTAAAAACTTAGAAAAGCGCCATGAAACGTAAAAGAGCTAGAAATGAAAACGGTATTCAATCTTATTCTAGCCGTCTTGTTCTTTCAGCAAAAAATATCTGTTCTGCTTATGAAATAAAAGTGGAATGAAAAAGGTGGGAACAAGTCTGAATTAAATAGAAATGTTAAAATTAACTGGAGTGTAATATGATGCATTATCTGATTTGTCTTCCTTACGAAATTGTCTTCCAGAAATGCAAATTCATCTGTAAATTGTATATATGTCAATAGCTTCCATTCATTTTAGATTATCATCAACATGAATTTATTCTGTCTTCCAAGCGTATTTGGAGTGCGCATTATTCTTCGAATGTGAGTTCAAGCAGCTGAAATAAACATAATTGCTACCTGATTTTATACAGTCACAGTACATAGAAGTTGCATTTTTTGATGTGAACGAGAAAATGAACAAACTTTTTCTTCACGTTTTGTTTGTTTTCTCTGCAATTATTGAAGATACATGATTCAAATTTTGACAAAAGGGTAGATGAAATTATTTGAAGGCTTCACCGGGCCAGAAATTGAAAAATCTTGTTTTGAAGGCTTAAATTATCCAGCTTATCATAACTAACTTTACAGGTGTTAATGCTGTGGAAACAATATCAGGAATTCGAATAATTGGACCCAAATTAGTTCTTTGGGAAGTTGATGAGCTTGATGTACTCATTCTTTGCCTAAAAATGACAAATAACTGAATTAAGAAAGTTATCTGGTCTGGCCTCGAGAAACGGTCATATCTGTTTTCACGACACACACTAAAACTTATTTGGAGGTTAAACCAAAAAATTGGACTGAACGTACACAACGCATCTGCTAATGAGACTCCTGTGCTTAGATTGGAGCTGTATTTTAATTTCTCCAAGTCTCGTTAAACGTCATCAGTTTATGGCATAAACAAAAATATCCGTGTCGGAGTAAAGGAGTTCCAAGTTTAGATTTGGTTTCATTTTTTGATAATGAAACTGAAACATGAAACGCTTGGCGAGGTCTAGGATGGTTGCACCAACTATCATCGGTTTGTCCCACAATATTTTTGTTACTTAAAAGCTGATTGTGGCTAATTGATCGTCTATGATTTGAAAGCTTTTCATTGTGCTCAGAGCTGTTTTTTGTAAAAGTTCTCTCTCATTCCTTACAATCTCCAGCTTCTTTCTTCCTAACTTAGACTCCATTGTCTTACCGAAAGCTGAATTAACAATTAGCTTGTAGAAGTTCTCCTGGAATTTATTTACCGCGGTTTTTTGCAGGCGGGTGTTGAGGTCGACAAAGGGTGCCATCCAGTGACTTTGGCGGAACTGAAGAACTTTACCTAGGTGAGTTATTTTCATTCCCAGCTCATGGTACAAGTTTAGGGTAAGGTAGTGCAAAACATAACCTTCTTTAGGATGCAAGGTCTGTAGAAGCTTTGGCCACTTTTGGCAGTGTGGTGATTCCCAATTTTCCCAACATAATGACTTGCTCGTTGCTTATTGCACCGATGTCCACTACTTCACGAGAGGGGGCAAGGGGGTAATCAGCAAAGAAGTCGTGAAGCTCTTCGGGTATGGTTAAATTGACTTCAACTATATAACCCCACTCTGAGGTTTTGCTGGTGAGCAGTATGTCTGCCAGACTTTTTTCAACTATTGAAAAATCGTTTAAGGGTAAAGGGCAGTGTTTCAGTATCCCCCCGTACAAATTGTTTGCATCAATTTTGAGGATGTAGCTTGATGGTTCTGAGGGCAAAAAATTGTCGAGGTATTTATTGTTTGCTTTGTAAAATTGGCGCGCGTAAACCGACGACATGCCTCCTCGTATCATTCGCTGCACAAGTTTCAGATGTTCACGGTCCGTTAAGAGTTTCAGTTCGGGCTTACAAACTTTTAGAAAGGCGTCCCAGGAAAGGTTACTTGCCGTGAAGTAACAGGCGCAATCCAGCCCGTATGTTTGATAGCAAACTTCACAAAAAGCTTCGAAAACGGAAGCAAGCAATAGAACATCTGTAGTCAAGTACAAGTCGTGGTAATCACCAAGTGAGCCACACTTCAGTTCGGTGAAAACTTTAAGGGCATGATTGTACTCGCTTCTTGAAACACTCACATCCCCTCCTGTTAGACTATTTTTCCACATTGCTCGTGGGGGAAGGCGAGTTTCTCGGAATTTTTCGAATGAGTTGAAGTATGAGTAGGGGTAATTCCCTTTCTATTTCAACATACTGACTTTTTCAGGTGAGTGGCCGAGTTTTTCAAAATAGTTCTCCAGCTTAAAAAACTTTTCGTTGGGCAAATTATCGACAAGTTTTGCCAACGATGCTAGCATGAACCTATACGAATCGATGAATCTCAGATTTTTGTAGAGTTTTTTGATTTTTCCGTTTTTGTCCGGGTACGTTTTTATATATACTGAGATTGTCAAGGATATATATTTTTCTTCAGATGCGGGTGTTACGGAAAAAGTGTTTTCCGAATCGCTTTTTGCCAGAGCTTTGAATATAAAGTGTAAATCATAATTTGACAAATTATGAGCTACCACTGGAATGTAATTTGTTGTTTTTCTATTAACGTTACACTCATTGTGTGCCCAACCCAAGAACTTGTTGGTGTAATGGCAATGATCAAATACCACATGATCATTGTCGGAAAAATCATTCTCGCATATCCAACAAATTGTAGCATCTTCCCGTTCCTGGTCTGTTTTACCAGTGAAAGTGTAATATTTCCTTTTTTCTACGTAAATTTGTCTCGCTAACGATTCAAGGGAGCTAATTAGCTCTTCCATCACATTCGGTCCTCTTTTAAGCTCAAACTTTAGCAGGTCTTTTTTTCCCAAATTCGATTACTGCTAACGCGTAGCCGCAAGGTTGATGGATTTCATTTGTTTGCGTGCTAGATTTTCGCGGATCAGGTTCCGGTCCGTATACTGGTAAGAGCAGTGACTCCAAACCAAAGTAGATTACTCTGGGTACGTAGCAACGAGCTGTTAAGTTTTTGAACTTGTGATCATCTTTTCCCGGCTTGGGCATTGTTATGATGACATCTTCGTCTTGGTAAAACAGTTCATGATGTCTTCTCAGAGTTTCGAATGAAGCGCATGTGTGTAAGCATTTGCGGCAAATCTCAGATTGAAATCGGTGCACTTTGTGCCGCACGTACTCGACCAGTTTCTGGAGATCACTTATCAACACATAGTGATATTTTGATCCATCTGTCAGCAGCAACAAGTCCACAATCAGGCTAGTAGTGAATCTGCTCGATACTCTTATGGGCAACAATTTGCCATCGTTGTACCTGAACAGAAAAATAATTTTTATACCTAGGTTTGGAATGAAATAAAAAAGGTGTTTGAATAGGTGAAGAACATTAATGAAAGATTTTTGAGATTTTTAGAAGGGAATTAGAATTTGCTTACCGGAAGACGTTGATTTGACAATTGTTCAACTTTTCAAATCTGTCCATATCCATCAGACCCATTGGCATTTCGTATTCCCCATTGATTTTCACAATTCCTTCTTTGTCGAGATCGTATGTTGAGACTTTGTTTTTCTCCAGCCACGGTCTAGATGGGGGTAGAGGACCGGCTCATTCACATTGTGATATGCGACAACAAAGCAGTAGAGAAAGCAACGGTCAGCATCTTTAGTGTTGATATTTGTGAGCAGAGTAGATGCTGCGCTGAGTGCATCAGGTAGCTCGAGGTAGGATCCTGCTCTTATTGGTGAGAAGGCCGCAAAACTGATTTGCAATTTTTCAATTTTGTCAATAATCCATCCGCTACCATGAGAAGAGAACGAATTGACTTGGTTGACCATATGTTCAATCAGTTCCAAGAATTGATCCCCAGCTATTCCCTCGAAGTACACTGTCAATGTCTTAGTGTTCAGAAACAGCATGGTCCTTTCGAAGTTTCCACTGTCCCCGTCTTGCACAGTGGGAATTTTGATAATTCCCACTTCCACGTGGAATTGCACCTTGTTCGGACCCTCTTTGACCCTTTCCAGTATGAGAGCATCTATTTCCTCCTTGTTTTGCATCATGACTTCAAGCAAATCCATTTCTTTTTCACCAATTTTGAGATCGTATCGACGCAACTTGCCTCTGAACGCGCTTTCCGTTGGGGCAGCGGAAGACGTCGTCTCAATGCTGTCCCAAACTGGCAATGTGTGCTTCTTCAGCAAGTGTTGTCCATAGCTTTCCGCGGTGAGAAATATTGTATGGCAATAGATACAATGACTATTGGAAGTCATGTCATGTACCAGCTCGACGTGCTCTCGGGCTTCCGACAAACTCTCGAATGATTCGAGACACTCATCGCAAACAGTTTGAGGAGGAGGGGGAGGAAAGATCTTGTGAACTTTTTGCTCATGTCTTCTCAAGTTTCTTTTAGAGCTCAGTATTTTTCGGCACTGCTTGCAAGGAACAGGTGTCGCGATAGAAGTAGAGTTCGGCATTATTTGTTGAAGTTACTGAAGTAATTCAGGAAAATTTCAAGAAGTAAAACTGGTTATGAAAAAACAAAAGCGAGAAGTGACTCTTACTAAAAACTTTGCGGGTAAGGGCAAGTAGAAGCCAATAACAAGAGTTATACCTCGCCGTCTCGACAATAAGTACTTTCCTTTCCAAAAACAGGTTTATTACAGCTTTAAGCTCTATATTTCTCGTCACTCTGTTCAAGAGCAAGGGTTTTGTATACTAAAAACTGATTCATTTACAGCCTCAAGCTCATGCTGTTAATTTTAAGGGTTAGCGATAAATTTTATAAGTTTTGGCATTTTTTAGGGGACTGGTTTAGACTTTCAATTAACATTTCAGCACTATTTTTTAACATTTTTTTCTTTCATTTTTAGCTTGAACTATTCGTTCTCATTTTAAATTCAAGTGAATGTGGTTTGAAATTTTTAGGAGCTATCTGATACGTAATAAGGACAAGGGTAGAAATTAAAAAACAATTATAGCCCAATCAATGAGAGTAAACGCTTAAAAAATTGTGATTTTTTGAGAAATTCTGATTTTTATGAAAATATTTGAAAAAAGTTGGGAAAAATTTTTTTTTCTCTCCAAATCCATTAAAACTACCCTCGATAAATTTGCCATGAGTTTCTGAGCAGGGTTAAGGGTCATGTTCATTTTTCGAAAAAAAACATAAATTTTCATTTTTTCACATTTTTACCAAAAAAATTTTCAGTTTTACACCCAAAACATGTATATAAATGTAAAATAATGCAGATTTATGGCTTAAAACATTCTCTGTTACTTTGCGTAAGACCTGGCTAACCCCAACGGGCACAAAGTATGACGAGAGGGAC